CTTAGCTTGAACAACTGGGAGGATGGTGGAACTATTTGCGAGGGTCAGATGGAGAGGGAAGGAACAGGTTTTAGGGTAGAAAAGTCAAGTTCTCTATTTCCGACATATCAAACCTGATGCCAAGCATTGAGGCTAAGTGGGCATATGGCTCTGTGAGTGTGGAGCTCAGGGAACAGTGGGGCTGAGTAGACAAATGTGGGCCTCAGCAAGAAGAGAATACATGGCTGTGTCCCTTTAGAAAGGACACATGCTCGTCACTTCACCCCAGTCCCCACCTTTCCCTATTGTCTCTCAACACTGGAGCAGGCCTGCTTCCATTATCTCCTCACCTAGGCCCATCTCAGCCTCCCTTCCTTCGTCTGGGCTCCTGGCTGAGGACAGCCAGGTGCCCACAGCACTGGCTGCAGCGGGGAATTTCAGTGCCGTGCCCAGAGGGGGTGCTTTTCTGTGGTTGCTCTGGGTTCTTTCAACCTGGACATTTGCATCCTTCCTTCAGTTCTGGGGATTTTATTTTTATTCTTCCTTTGATCATTTTCTCCCTTCTTTTAACTCTTTTGTCTCCTTCAGAATTTTTTTTTTTTAAAGATTTATTTATTTATTTATACAAGCACTGGGTACAGTCAGAAGCGCGGGAGGGTGAGAGAATTCACCAGAGCCAGAGCGGGGAGCAGAGCAGGCAGAAGGACTGAGGTACACTGCTGAGGGGAGCAGCAGGCATGGCAGGAGAGGTCTGCGCGCCATGTGGGACCCTCACCAGGCGGGCAGGGATGGAACCGGCGCTGCAGTCTGCTGGCAGCTTCGCAACCCAGTGCTCAACCGCTGCGCCACTGGGGAGGCCCTCCTTCAGAATTTCTTAACAGATGAATGATGGACAGCCTGGATGGAGCTTCTCATTCCTCTGTTCTATTTTGGCATTTTGTTTGACTTTCTGGAAGAATACCTCAACTTTGAATCCTATCACTTTTATTGAATATTTACACTATTTTTGTAAGAATATCTAATAGGAGTTCTTTCTCAATCTTGGTTCCTTTTTCATAGCACACTGTTCTTGGTTTATTTCCCTGAGGACATTATAGTTTGGGTTATTTTTTTAATACTCTTCTCTGTATTGTCTCTGCTTCTTGTTTCTTATCTTGGGTTGATTTGGCCTCTCCCTTTCATGTTAGAGACCGTTCTTTTCTGCTGAGCTGTTACATTTGCAAATAGGGGGTTTTGTTGTTACTCATGAAGCAAAGGCCCCAGGAAATTCATTATCTAGTTTCTTTTATTTGTTGAAAGCTTTCCTCAACTGTCCACGGGGCCTGGTTATCTGTGCTCTTCACATGCATGTGTGCATGTGTGTATGCATGTGTATATATGCTTATGTGTGCACACAAAGACATGAAGATTAACAGTGTTATTATGGGATGCTGGGACAGTTTTTGCATTGAAAAGTATTTGGAGGTCTTTCTCTGAAGCCCATTTTTCTTTTTTTTAAGATTTATTTATTTATACAAGAACTGGGGTACAGGTACAGAAGGGTGAGAGGATTCACCAGAGACAGAGTGGGGAGCAGAACAGGCAAACTGGCTGAAATGCACTGCTAAGGGGAGCAGCGGGCGAGACAGGAGAGGTCTGCCATGCCATGTGGGATTCTCGCCTGCCGGTCGGGATCGAACCCGTGCTGCAGAGGCTGTGGACAGCTTCACAACGCTGTGCTCACCCCACTGCGCCACTGGGGAGGCCCCTCAAGCCCATTTTTCTAAATAAGAATGCTACCTGGGTGTAGATGCCTGGCTCTGGGCACTCCGGAAGCAGAGAAGGCCTTGGGGGGCAGGTGCGACTAAGGGCAGAAGCTCACGTTACCACCTCCCAGCGCTTTCAGCCCTGCCCCTCGGAGTCTCCTGCCCTGCCTGGTGTCTCCCCTAGTCCAGAGCAAACCCGAGTCCATTCCTCTAGAGAGGAAATGTGCAAGTCCTAACAAGGAGATGAGACTTGGGTCCGGCTTCCCATTTCCTGCCTGGCTCCCTCGCTCTGGCTTCTATCCTGAGCCTTCTGGGCTTCCTTGGGGCTGGTCAGCTCATTTCTGACTCATCTTCCTGCACAGGAATTCAGCCAGCACTCCTTCATCAGCTCCCAGCCACCCAAACCTTTCCAATTCTCTTATTTACTGCTGTCTCCTCCCTCATGAATTCTGTCTTAAGAGGTGATCATCGTTTTAATCCTTTCCTGTCAGTGTAGCGCTGTTTGGGAGGGAGGGAGAAATGTCAGTACCTGGTTTAATTAGAAGACTAGTTTCTTCCAAAAATCTAATTCTATTGATTCAATATTTATTTTCTAAACTTCCCGATGATAGTTTTTTCTTCATTAAATATTTATGACCCATCTCTAGTTTTATTGCTTCCAGCACAGACTGTGACCCAAACTGTTTCTTCGGGCAACGCTTGAGCTCTTTATGTCTCGCTCTATCATCCACCTGGAGGGAGGCCCCAAGCCTGAAGTGGAAAGGTGTGTCTCTGGATGGGAACCTGAGGGACCCCTGCTCATTACATCTTATCCATAATTAAAAACCCTCTGGGAACTCCTCCTGCTCGATCTGGAAAACGCCGAAGGCATGTGTGCCGGCTGTCCTCTTCCCTCTGCGTTTCCAGCCGTCTCCGCTTTGCTTGCTGCTCTTCAGCAGCTTCCGGAGTTCGGCGTTCGTGCCTTCGTTATACGTGCGCTCTACCGACACGAAATGACGTCTCTGTCCAAGCCGCTGCTATTCCCTTGAGTTCTGTCGCTTACGTGGCACTAGGCCAGTGGGGGCAGCGGCCCCTGAGCTTGGGGGGTCAGGGGACGCGGTGAGGAAGCGCGGGCCGTGGGCTCAGAAGAGCCGCTGGGGGCGGCTGTCCCGGGCTGGGGGGTGGTGGAGGCCTGTCTGTAGGAAGGATGTCACAGTAGGGGGTGAAAACAACACACAGGGGCTGGGGAGCAGCAGGTGGACACCCGGAAGCGCCCTGGGATGGAACGTGGGGTGGCTGAAGACCTGGGGCGCTGGGGCAGCAAGAGGCAAGGGGCGGGCCTTGGCCAGGGGCTGCCTTGGGAAGGAAGAGGACCCGAGGGTCCTGATGCGAGCGAGGAGGGGCAGAGGGGCATCACGGTGACAGCCCCCACCCCAGCGGGGCAGGAGAGTGGCTTTCAGGGCAGGGGCCGTGGAGCGGAGGGAGGTGCTCGGCCGAGCCCCGGTGAAGCGGAGGAAGGCTTGGCTCGGAGTGGGGACGGGACCCTGTGAGGGCACGGTCTGAACTGGGGGTCCTCGGGAGGTTCTCCTGCAGCGCTCGGCCACCCAGAGAGCTGGTGTGGTCTGAGAATGTTGTCCAGAGCGTGACCTCTGCTCAGGCTTGCCGGGGAGGGCGGTGAAGACACAGGGGATCCTGAGACGCCGAGGGTGGGTGCTGGCTGGGTGATGAGAGGGCTCGACAGAGGGCGGTGCTCACAGGAGCCTAGAGCCTGCGGCTGGCGGAGGGCCGTGGCCACCCCACTTAGTGGGATGTGTGTATGGGAAGAGGACGGGGTAGCAGGGATGGAAGTGGGACTGGGTGGGGGGTTCACGTTTCCTAACGGCTGAGTTGAGAGGAGCTTGGATCTGGAGAACAGGAGCCCCCACCAAAGCCCCTCTCCAAGAACCACATAGCTGTAGAGCTCCCCAGGGCTCAGGAGAGGGCTCGGGCTTCAGGTGGGTCTGGCACATGGCTCCCTGACACTCTGCCTTCCCCTAGGCTTCCGGGGCAAAGCGCAGAGGCCCGGGGGCATCTCTCTGGAAACACTGGACATCGGGACCCAAGTCACGGGCAGGAGCCAGAGGCGTGTGTGCAGGTAAGTCCCGAGTACGTGGCCAAGTGATCACACACGCCTGCCCAGGAGCCCACAGCCCTGTGTCCAGTGGTCTCTGAGGGTTCTGGGCTGTCTGGGGATGCGGCAACCCCTGGGGGTCACTGCCTGGGCTGCAGACCAGCTGCAGAGGACAGAGCCTGCAAGGCCCCAGGCGTGTTCGTCACAAAAGCCCGAGGTTGGGTCTTGCAGGTGGGTCTGGCTTGGGAGAGCAGCCTGGGCCTGCCGGGCTGTGGATCATGGGTTTGCTTCAGCTCAGCCATGGCCTGCCGGGGACCCTGGGCCAAGCTCTCCCTCTGGGCGTCTCCCCTCCTGGAGGCGGGCTCGCGGTGCTCAGCCCAGGGGGTGCTCAGCCCAGGGAGTGTGGGGCCGGCACTCGGGGTCACTGCCTGGCTTGTCAGTGGCGAGGGGAGTGCAGGCAAGGGGCCTGTCAGTGGCGAGGGGAGTGTCCCAGTAGGAGGAGGGGACAATCCGGGATCCCTCAGTGAGCCGACCACTACCAGCATCTTTAGGGGACCCCCTGTCCACAACCCCACCAGGGCAAACCGAATGCGGGGGTTCCTTGGGAGAGTAGGCGAGCCCGGGACGCCAGCGCCACCCCGGGAGAACCGCCCCAGGACAGCTGAATGGAGAGGCGAGTCAGGCTTAAAATAGCTAAATAAATCTTTAATATTTCTAATTGCAAATGTACAGAAATTGCACAGCCACACAGTCTTGGACACCAACCACGGTCTTTGTACATTATTACACAGGTGGAGGCGGGGGCGGGAGGGCTCCGGCCCGCAGTATTTCCTTTTCACATACTTACAAAAGGGGGAGGAGGGGCGCTCGGGCGGGAGGAGGGGGCACCGGGCTGGTGCTCCCCGGGTGGGGGGTGGGGCGCGCTGGCGGTGCCGCCCACCCCCCTCTCTGGGCAGTCGGAGAGTCTTCACGTAAGGAAGTTTGGCAGTTTCCTTCCCCGGAAAGACGTTAAGCGGAGAGCCAGGCCCTTCCGTGCCGGCGGGAGGGGTTTTCTCCGGCAGAGTCTGGGCCCAGTGACCAGGCGCTGGGGCCTCGGTCCCTCCCCGGGCAAAGGACCCCCGACACCCCGCACGGGTTCTCAGGGGCCCCGGCAGGACACCCCCTTCCCGGCCCCGGCGGGGCGCGGGGCTCTGGCGGGGCCCACCCGGCCGGCAGCCGCCGAGCCAGCAGATCAGCGCCACGGGCGGGGGCGAAACCCCCCGACGCGATCCCCAAACCGCTTCCTCCTGCTCAATACTGTTCTCTAGGTTAAAAAATAAAATAGAACCCACCGGAGAGCAGCGGTCCGGGCAGCCCTCGGCAGCACCAGGACGCGAGTATGTACAACCGTCGGTGAGAGAGTTACATTGCAGTCAAACACCAAGAACATGTACAAAAATCGGCAACTTGCATTTCAGATAAAAATCTGGGAAGTCTGTACACTTTTACAGTTTTTGCACTATGTAAATAAGGCTCTCGGCCCGAGAGCTCACCGCCCGTGCCAAGGGCTGCCAGCGCAGCCACCTTGTGGGGCCTCCTGCACCCCGCGGCCCGGGCCCTGGGGACCTCCCCCCACGTATTGCTAAGAGGCGCTCAGTCCGAGGTCGCTGGAGGCATTGGCAGGAGAGGGGAGGGGTGGGGCGGGGTAGGGTGGGGGTTCTGAAGAGGGCTCCCTGGACAGTGGGGGACAAGTCTGAGACAGAGGAGGACAGCCCTGGGCCAGGCCCTGCCTGTGTGGCCAGCAGGGGGCAGGGTTCAGCCCCCACCCCTTCCTTCCTGAGGTCTGTGACTCTGCAGGCCCCTGCCTCTGGCCTCACTGACTACAGGTTTCATCTAGGAGCCCCTTTCCAGAACATGCAGGGCCGGGGTGCAGGGCAGGCCGGCCCCCTCCCGCATGCCCCTTCCTGGTGGGCTCTGTGGTCAGCCCGGCCCTGGGGCAGGCTCAGCGCTCATTCCCAGGCCTGCTCAGCTTCCTGAGGCCGAGTGGAGGCGGCCACTGCAGCTCGCCCGGCCTGGCTCTGCTGTGGGCAAACGCCCCAGCTCCTGCCCAGACTGACGTTACCCAGGGCCGGGCTGCCATCTGTAGGAGTGGGGACAGGCGGGAACAGAGGGCCCAAGCTCCTGCCCACCTACGGCCCGCCAGGGGTGGGGGGGGGCTGAAAAGCCACAGAGCAGCCTAGAGCTGGGGAAAACCGGCCCCCGGCGGGTGCGCCCCTCCCCTGTCTGCAGCGCCTGGGTCCTTGGCTGGGGCGAGAGGGGTGAGGAGGAGGCCGGCCGCACACACGGCGGGCGCTGCAGGCTGCTGCTGTCTTGGAGAGGGAGCAAGTCTAACATCCTCCAGGGCCGCTATTTCCCATGCAGTGCGCACGCTCAATTTAAAAGGCCCCTGTGTTCCAGCAAGCGAGCAAGCGGGCTTTTGTTTCTAATGCATACTGTGAAAGGAAAGAAAATCACAGTTATCCACCTTCTCAGGGCCTGTGGGCATTAGAATTTTTTTTTCAAACCAGCAGTGGGGAAAGCCCAAGACCAGCCTTTCCCTCAGCGCGGGCACAGCTGACCACTCCCTGCGGGCGCCGCGCCCTGCTGCCCCGGCCCCCAGAGGAGGGCAGGTGCTGTGGGGCCGTCGGGGCCAACGCTGCCCAGATCTTTGGCTTCAGGAGCCGCAGGTACCACCTGGGCCCATGTGGCAAGAGGGGAGGCCCTGGGTCCTCAGGTACGAGGGCCCAGAAAAGTGAGCTGTGATCCCCTCGTGGCCTATTTGGCAGAACAAGGGAGGGCGGGAGGTGAGGTGGAAAGAGGGGGAGTCTGGGGGCAGGTACAGGGTGGATCCTCAGTTCCTTGCAGCCAGGAGGGGGCCCACCGGGCTGCATGCAGTGGCAGGGACTCGGGGGACGTGGGCAGGGATGCGGAACGCCGGCAGTTCCATGCCCCACCTTCTCCCTGCCTGCAGACCAGCCGTCGCCTGGCGGCTCCTGGAACCTGAGGGGGGCGGTCCCACAGAGCAGGGCCTGGCTGAGGGAGTCCGGGGCCCTCAGAGGCCAGGGGAAGCTCAGGACTAGGCCCCTCGCTCTTTGCGCCTCCATCTCTCCAGGCAGCTCCCTCCCTGGGAGGGTGCGGGTCCATGCACTCGGCCAGGTGCGGGTGGAAGGGCGACAGACACCGGATTCAATGACCGACAGGTAGGTTTTGGCCGCCGCCTGCTCCCCCCGCCCCGGCCGCGCCCACTCCCCGGCGTGCAGTCTCTTCCGCCTGCCCCAACCGCTCCTCGGCCGGAAGAGAAGGGGAGCAGGCCGCGTCAGTCTCTCGAGGCTCCCTCTGTGGCCGCCTCCTGGACCTCGGGTGGAGGGGAGGGGGACACGAGCCTCGGCCTCTGGCCCCCCGCGCGGGGGCTGCGGCTGTGGGGGTGCTTTCCCCCTGGCCGAGACCCTGCCCTGGGCCACCACGGTCCTCCCCTCTCCTCGGGCAGGTTAACAATTGCTGCTGTTTCTGAACTCGCCGTTCTCAGTAATCTGCAATTTGGTGGGGTTGGTGGGGGAGATGCCGTTACGGGCTTGCATGCTGTACCTCTCTTTCAGCTGAGTCAGGGCACTCATGAGGCGGGCGTTGGCAGCGTCCAGCGAGGCGATGCGCTTCTCCTGTGGACAGAGGGTCACTGGCTGGAGTGTGGGAGTGGACGCCTAGGTTGAAGGGAACGCGCTGGGGAAAGGTCTCTGGGGGCTGCATGGGCCTACAAAGAGCACTGGACAGGGCGAGGGGGCCAGCCAGAGACACAGGCGACCAGGGGCAGAGGGACCGGGGCAGAGGGGCACCATCACCTCAAATGGAGGCCTCGAGGGACGGGGAGGAAGCTGCCCTGGGCACGCGTGTGTACCTCTCCCGGCCCCACCTCACCACCTGCTGCTTTTCCCAGGGTGTCGCCAGCCAGCCAGGCCCCAGGACCGGCTCCCTAGCTCCCGTGCGTGTCAGACACACGCGCCCACGGCTCCCGGCCCCACGCCGGGCCGACCGAGAGCGTGAGCGGACAACGGGGGCCACAGTCTCACGCGTCCCCTCTCTCGAGGCCGCTGGGAAGCCACTGCTCTGCCCAGGAGCCCCCTGCTTCCTCAGCCCACCTGCTTTCACCCCAGGCTTGTTCTACCCCTTTCCAGGAGCCCCCCACTCTTTGGTCAGCACCCCTGGAGAAAGGCACTCCCCACCGATACCCCAGCAGCGAGGCCTGTCCCTCTCCTTCAGCGAACTGTCCTAGCGGGCTGGGTAAAGTCTGACTTCTTGGAGCAGAGACCGTGGCCTCTTCCTCTTCCTCAACTTTTGCAGGGGGGCCGGGGTGTGCGGAAGCAAAGTCACCCCTTCTCCGCCTAGATCCCTTAATACCCGCGGCCAGCCCGAGGGCCAGCGTCCCCACCTGGGCATCGATGATCTTCTGTTTGGAGTCCACGGCCGCCTGCATCTCCGCGTGGTCCTTCTTCAGCTCCTCCTCCACGGACATCAGCCTGTGGGCGGAGACACGGGCAGTCAGGCTGGCACCGGGAGGCCACGAGGAGGAGGCGGCGGCGTGGGCTGGCGGGGGCAGGCCGGCTTCCCCGCACAGGCCCCTCCCTCTGCTCCGGTGAGCTCGCCCAGCCTGAGCTTCCCCACCCCGCAGGCGGCGTGCTCCCGGCCAGCACCAGGAACTCCCAGGAGCTCTGCGCGCCGAGGCAGGGGTGAGCGTGTAGGCTGCCTGAGAAGGAAAAGGGCCAGCCGGTGGGGGGGGAACCCACCAAGGAAAAGGGATGGGGCCACACCCTGGGCACTCCTCGCTGCTGGAAGCTAAGACGCTGGGCAGAGTCAGCGAGGGGGGGAGTGGGGGCCGCGGGCTTGGGGGCATCAGCCAGAGGGAGGGTACATGGAGGGACACTGCTTCCAGCTCCGGCGGCAACAGGGACCGGATCTACCCCCCCCCATCCCAATGCAAACAAGCAAGCCCTACTCACTGCCTAGGCCAAGGGGGAAAGGAGGGTGCAGCCTCGCGTGGAGGGGCCCAGCGGGCAGGGCGCAGGGCCTGTGGGGCCGACCCAGACAGGAGGGAGGCACAGAGAGAACGGCACGCGTGCCCCAGGGCCTGTCTCTCTGGCCCGCAGTGAGAGAAACAGCCAGGCTGGGGCAAGGACCGCCGGCCGCCGCCTCCCAGAACAGGTCATGGAAGCGGGAAGGTGTCCTGGCCCAGGGACACCGCCCGGCCCCCGAAGAACTGCCTCCACGGGCAGCCACCTCCGCCTGGGCCGCTGCAGGGCCCACCCCGGCAGCCCCAAGTCAGTCTCAAAGCAGCGAACTGTCTCCAAACAGCCTCGCCGGGTCCCAGAACGCAGCCCGGACGTATTGACAGGAGCACGAAACCCACCTACACGAAATTCACGAGGCCCGGCCCCCGCCCCACCACCCGGCGTTCAGAGAAAGGAAACCCAGCCGTGACCAGGAAGAACACAAGCTCAAAAGAGTGGAGTTAGCAGGCGAGGACGTCACAACAATGGCTATAAATACACGCCAACGCTCGAGAAAACAGGAAAGCCCACGCAAGCCCAAAGAGACACGGGGGGCTTGGAACCAAACTGGAGGTTTGGGAGGGAGAGACACGACGGCTCTGAGGAGAAACCAACGGTGAGCCCCAAGTACAGTGACAGAAATCATCTAAGGTCAAACAGAGAAACAAGGAGGGGGTGCGGCCCACACAGAGCAGCCCACAAGGAAAGGCCCTCGTGGGCCTCCAGGCCCAGACCCAGGAGCTCGACGAACCCAGGACGTGAAGAAAACCAGGCCTAAGCGCACCACGACCCGGCTGGCAGACGGCGCCGTACCAGGCGAGGAGCCGTGGAAGCGGCCGAGGAAGAAGACACAAGGCGGAGGGCGGCGCAGACAACGCCCGGGGCTCTGTGGGGCAGGGCCACGCGCCTGCCAACCTGTCCAGCTGGAAACCCACTCTCCTCCGGCACCTGATGCGCCCGTGGTAAAGAAGCATGGGCTGCTTGGCCTGGAGGCTCCACCTTGACTGCATGCCCCCAGGAACAGTGGGGACACCCCTCCCACAGCAGGGGGAATCAACACAACCCGACGGAAGCCAGATGAGAGCCAGCTGTAAAAGCAAAGGCCCCCCAGAAACCTGCCCAGATAACCCAAGGTTACCTTAAAACGCGACATATTCAAAAGTGGCATCACCCCCCCCACACCGCTGCTGCCCTCCGAGAGCCCCTACCAGCAGCTGGCACCCCGACCCCCCCAGTACTCGTCTCTTGCCTCTACCTCCCACCTCCTGCTTCAGGTAACTGACATTCCCTCCTTTCCCCGCCCTGAATCTTGTCCTCATTGTCTTTCCTGGCGCCCCTCATCTTAAACTCCTCTGAGAATTTAAGAAACCAGACTCCCTAAGGGCCAGGGGCCCTCTGCGGCCTGGCTGGCCTCACTCTCCCAGGCCCAGCACTGCTTGCACCATTCACACCCGGCCCCGGGGGGCTACTTTCCAAGGCCGCCTTGGCCTCCGGGCCTGTGCCCCGCTGTGCCCGCCTCTCTCCACACTCACCCCGCTGCTGGCCACCCTCCCCTGGGCGCCGGGCCCCTCACCTGCTGATGATGCCCTTCATCTGGATGTCCTTGTCCTCCTGCTGCCGCCGCAGCCGCTCCTCGCCCTCCTCCAGCCGCGCCTGGTACTCCAGCACCAGCTTCTGTGTCGTCTCCTCCTGGCACTTGAACAGCGTCTCGTACTCCTCCAGCTTCTTGTTGGAGATGCGCAGCTTGTCCTGCAGCACTGCCAGGTCCTGCCGGGAGGCCAGCGCGCGGGCACAGCACCAGGACAGAGAGCAGCCTCATGAGCCGGGCAGGGGCAGGGGCGGGGAGCCCGCCTGCATGCCCGGTCGTCACCCCACCCACCCCACATGCTGAGGACCCCCCAGCGAGCAAGCCCACCCCAGGCGCCGTGCTGGACTCACGGCCTGTCCCCCACATGGGGTGCTCTCCATTCCAGCTCCCCCCTCCCAGGGTGGCCGAGTGGCAGGAGGGGGGTGAAGACGCAAACCCGATCTCAGAAGTGAGGGTTTAACAGGGCTGGAGCTTTTTATAATAAGCAAAGGTTTAAAATAAACCTTGATGATTCTATGATGCGACAGTACCCGGAAGGGAAGGGTCACTGAGGCCGACAAGGCAAAGTGGTGCAGTCGTCACATGAAGTGACTGGCCAGCGGGGCAAGATCCTAGCCCCCCCAGCCTCTATCTGACCCTACAGCCAGAGCAGTGGCGTGGGGAACCGGGGGACAGAGAGGTTAAAGGAAAGGTGGTCCAGGCTCTCTGGAGCTGATCTGGCCCAGCACCCCAGGCTATGGGGGAGGCACGGGATGAGAAAAGCAGCAAGAGCAACAGCAAGCTGGGGAGCCGTGTGGGCTGGACAGAGGAGCGAGGCAGGGCCAACGCCACAGTCAAGGGCTGGGAACGAGGGTGCCAAGAGAATACAGGGGTAGGGGGACAGGAAGAGCCTCGATTCACTGAGTCCCAGGCAATGGAGACCACTGCACTTATCAGGAAGTAATCAGCCAAAGGGCAGGAGGCCACAAATGCAGAGATGGGGAGAGACCCCATCCCACCCCAAAACTAATCCCTGAAACCAGGCTGGGGCCTGAGAGCCTGACCAGGAGAGAAACGTCCCTGGCCCCGCGCCGGGGTTTCCACTCAGCTGGCCAGAGAAGAGCTGGGCGCCCCAAGCTGACAGGCAGGACCACGTCTGCAGGAGTCAGGGAACAAGGTCTCCTGGACTTGCCTGGAGGGTTAGTAGCCAGGAGACGGCGGGGGGGGGGGGGGGTCAGCTGGCCAAGGGACGGGACAGAGGCCACCTACAGCTGCCCTTTAAGTCGTTGAGGCCGCTCTTGCTATTCACAGGTGTGAGCTTGAGGGTGCAGGGCTAAGCCCCACAGAGCCTGGGGTAAGGCCGGGCCTCCTTTCTCCCAAGACAAATTCTGGGGTTCAGAGCACTGTGCCCCAGGTCCCCGTCATGTCATCATGGTAAAAGCAGGTGGATGCAGAGGGCAGAATGCAGCATGGACATGGCCCTCACCCTGGCCGGGAAGAGGGGAGCTGCCAGCCTGGGGCCCGGTGGGGGAGAGCACCAGGGGTGAGTGGGGGCAGAGGCCACTGCCCTGGGGTCCGAGCTCTGGGTGGAAATCCAGCCACAGATGCATGGCAGCTGCCACAGGGGAAGAATTCGAAGGCAGAAGCACCCCCATATGCACATGTGCAGTGAGGGTGGGATTCGGCTATTTTAGAATCAAATTCTCTCCTGCAGGGAGGAAAGCATTTTAGTGGCATCTGACCATCCTCACCCTGGGAACTCTGCTTTTTCTCCCAGGCTCTGGGCAGGCTTTCCAGAGGGGAGGGGGGCCTCTCCCAGTGGTTTGGGGAGCCAGGCCTCTGCCACCTCACATGTGAAGTTCTACCCGAGGGTCTCTAGGCACCTCAATGGCACCCTAGCCCTCAAGTCCTGGATTCTCAGAAACTCGGCTGCTCGGTGACCTGGGCGAGGGGCTGTGCACCCCGGGTCTGATGACAGATCCCAGCCTCTGGGTTGGCACGATCCCCAGACGAGGCCTGCATGCAGCCCGGTTCGGAACCTCAGGCCTAGGCTAAATATCTCAGGCTGCTCTTCTTCCAGATCACTGCTGTCCTCACAGGGGCTGAGAGGGGATGGGCCATTCATTTGCAGGAACAAGCAGCACCCCTCCATCGGGCTCATGGGCGAGCAACCTGCCAGCTGGCCCAGGGGGCGGACCCGCCCTGCCCCAAACTGCCAGAGCGCGGCTTTACCTTCTCTGCTTGGCTGAGCTCCTCCTTACTCCTTAGCCTATCCCTGTGGGGGGGGTCTGGGCCCAGGCCCTCGTCTTCTAACAACTGCGCGTTCATGGTCAAGAGCCAAGCGGCCGTGCGGTCCAGGGCATTAGGGCTCACGGGTGAAGGGCCCTACAATGAAACACAGCTGTGAGGGGCTGGGAGGGGGAGGGGGCAGGGAACAGCTCTAGTTGAGCCACAGGGACAAGTGGCTCAGAGGCACAGAAGGAAGGGAGGGACCGTCAGTTCTCTGGGACCTACTAACGGAGCTCCTGACCTGGCACCTGGACAGCAGCTGGAGGCGAAACAAAGAGCCCGGGGGCCTCTCGAGCGCTGCACGCGGCGCCCAGGTGGGAGCAGGAGCACATGTACCTGCAGGCCAGGTATTCACATACCACCCATGGCCCTGTGACAGGAAACGCCTATGCGCCCCGGCAGCGAAGCCCAGAGGCTGACTCAGAGCAGGGAGGATACCAGGGCTGCAGTGGGGACAGGACCCCTATCTGGGCCAGGCTGTAACAGGCCCGGAACTGGAGATGGACAGCCCCAGTGTCTGTCTCCTTGACCCCAGCTGTCCCTGGGAGAGCTGGCTGGGGGACCTTAAAACCCCAACGTCCCTGCCTCACAGGACGCAGGCAGGGGCCAGTGGGGCTGGGGCGGTGGGTGGTCCTGTGGGATGGTGGGCCGGGCTGGATGTGGCAGCTCAGCATGGGATGGAGCTGGGTGCAGGTGGAGGTGGAATGACGGGGGGAGCCCCATGGCTGGGTGGCGAGAGCCCGGCTGCCATCCGCACACTGACCTGCTTGTGCACGGCCCGAGGCTTCAGCTCCGGGCTGTCGCCCTTGGAGGAGGAGGATTGCTGGCGCAGCCGGGCGCCGGGGCCGGCCCAGTCCGGCGAGGCCGATGCCAGGGTTCCGCTTGAGGGCCGTGGGTACTGCAGCGTGCTCAGCAGGGTGGGCGGCGTCCGGCCGCGGGGAGCAGGCGGTGGGGGCGGGGGCGGGGGCGGGGGCTGGTCGATCCTCCGCTGCGGGCCAGCGCTGTTCTGCCGCGGCACCGTGGGCTGCCCGCCCTTCTCAGTCAGCGACACCTGCCGCCGTGCCAGCTCCCCGGGCCGCCGCCCCAGGTCCTCGGCGGCGCTGCTGAAGCTTCCCAGCTTGGCGGCAGCTGCCAGCTCCTCGCTGTTGCTGTGTGAGCTCAGGGAGCTGTGGCCCTCAGAGCCGGAGTCACCCAGGCCACGGGGCGACAAAGGCAGGCCGGCCGCCATCTGGTACACAGGGTTCTGGAAGGAGAGCGGCGCCAACAGCTGGGGCCGGCCTGGTGCGCCTTCAGAGGTGCCCGGCGTGGTTGGCGTCTGGCCTGCCCGTCGCACAGTGGCCAGCCCTGCCAGATTCCCTGGGGCGGCCCGGGCCGGCCACCCGGCCACCAGCTGAGCGGCGGGTGCCTGCCCGTCGGCGAGGGCGTCGGGGCCCGCCGGGGAGCCTGCCTCCCCATCCAGCGCGCGGGCGTCTTGGAGGTCCACCATGGACAGGCTCTTGCCACCGTTGGCCATCTGAAGGTCAGGCTCGTTGGCTTCCGAGTAACTCGAGCTGCGGGCAGGTGAGGGCTGGACCCCGGAGGACCTTGTGACAAAAAACAAGTCCTTGTTTTCGGGGGTTGGAGACGGTAACCGGGTGAAATCTATCAGACTGCAGGGAGACAAGCACACACAGGGAAAGAAGGGGAAAGAACAACTGTGAGTGCAGCCAAGGCGGGTCCCCACCGAGAGCACCCGCCAACCTGCGGGGCCTGAGCCCTGGGCCCTGAGCCCCGAGTAAGGGCTGGGGGGGGGGTGAGGGGGTCTGGGTTGGGGAGGCCAAGGACAATCAAAGGGGAAAAGTCCTGGGGCCCAGCAGACCAGTTACAAAACCAACCCACGCCGGGGCTGTGACCCCAGCAGCAGCCACCCGGGACGGGGAGCCCAGCCGCCCACTCCTGCGCGGAATCTGCTCTAGGGGCCAGCGCAGCTAGTCCCGGGCCAGCCTGTCCAGCAGGCCCTTTTTCAGCTGCATCTTGGGACCATGGGTGCTAGGGACAGAAATGTTCTGGGAAATTCTCCTTAGCTAAACCCAAACCCCAGGGTCCTGCACTGAGAACCCCAACTTCAAAGCCATGGGGTTCCCTGTGCCTCTTCCCTCTTGTTCCTAATCAGACTGGTAACTAAAGAGGGGGCCTGGTGAAGCTTCTCCCTGCCCGGCCTCCTGCGGCCGCCCCCTTGTCTGACTGGCAGGCGGGGGCTGGAGTTCCTGGCAAAAACAAGGAATCAGAGGAGGATCCTCAGGCTGACTCAGGGCGGGGAGGGCCTGCACCCTCCCCCGGCCTCCACACTCAGCACAGTCTTCCCGTGTCTCCAGGTCTCTGCCCATAAGGCAGCTCCCTGGAGGAAGGCACAACTGTGGTGGGACCAGGTGGGCTTTGGAGGGAAGGGTCCAAGAAGGCCAAGGTGGCTGGAGGCAGCAAGGACCTGGGAACGGGCTGGAACGGGGAGCCAGAGGTAGCCGGCCTCCTCCCGGAGGAAGAGGAAGCACCAAGCCCCAAAGGACGGGACTTGGAAGGGGCAGCCGACGGTGGCTACTGGGGCTGAGGTGGGATTGAAAGAGCAGGGCCAGGGCAGCACACGGAGCCAGCAGGAACCCAGACCAGACACGGGGCTTGGCCGCGCCCACAGCATGCTCAGGGGATGCCTCCTCAGAACTCTTGTGCCCGCCCCCCACTTGGCCTCAGTGCGCCCCCATCTGAACTCCTGCTTTGCCTCACTCGGTGGGTTATGGCCCCCCAAGACTCAGAGAAGTCTGGGAGTGGCATCAAGGCCTCCATCTCCAGCCTCCTTCTGGGCCTGCAGTCCCTGGCACCCCCATAACCCGAGTTCGTTATCTCTAAGAGCCTGCCTCTGCTGTTGCCTCAGGTCAGCCCCACTCTGCTGCTGCAGCCTCAGAGCTGATCCAAGATGGTGGGGGTGGGGTTGGGGGAGGGGGACCTCAGAAGTGACAGAGGGCTCCACATTAACACCAAGCTACTTCAAGTAACACTTTGACATCAAAGTTCAAAAACGTCCTGCCTGTGTGAATATTTACAGGGCACTGTGCGCTGGACGGAGGACTCAGAGCAAGGGCCAGTCTTCAGCTTAGGGTTCCCAGAGTCACAGCCTGGCTGAGTCACGCCAGCGCCTACGAAAAACACGCACCCCTGAGCACTACTTCTGCAGACTGTGATTCAGGCCCAGGAAATACCAGAACAGGTTTTTTAAACACACACTCAAGTGGATCTGGAAATGCACGGCGGGAACCTAGGAGTGTCTGGGCTCAGCAGCTGCTCGTTAACAGAGCATGCTGGCTTGCACCAGGCCTGTGCTTGCGCCAGTCCTCGGCCTGCAGTACCTGTTCCACCCATGGAAATGTCACTTTTCCTAAAAGACACAAAACTACGGCACTACCTCCTCCAGGAAGCCTTCCCTAATTTCCCCCCATGGAGGCTCATCCACCTGAGCTTAGCACCTGCACAAGATAAATCCAGTCTCGCCCAGCTTGTGTTACTAACACTTGGCTGACTCCTCCTCCCCTGCTGACCACAGATGGGCTGTGCCTGTTTTGCACGGGCACCCCACCTCACCCAGCATGTCTAGCAGCTCTTACCCGGAGAGATCGTTGTCGATAACCATCTTCTGCAGCCCTGCCGAGATGCTGCTGCTGCCTGAGCCGGGCGTGGACGCCAGGTCGTTGGTCCCAGTGAGCGGCCCACTGCCTGGGGTGCTCAGTGCCGTGTGGACATCCCTCAGGATTCGAGGCAGGGGTCCCAGTTTGGATATAATACTCTGCAAAGACACAGCAAGAGGCAGGCATGACCTGATGGGGCCAGCTGGGGAGCCCAAGAGCGCGGTGGCCACTGTGGTTCAAAAGGGCCAAGGAGCCTGTCAGGCGCGCACACGCCCTCTCCCCTGCCAAGTCAAACCCATCAAGTCTGGAGGGAAGAACCTGTGAACTACACTCTTCACTGGCTCTACAGATGTTCTTGGGACCAGGGTGCGACGTCCAAAGGGAGGGTGCTGAGCTAGTCCAAGTCTTTCACGCCTAACAGTTCCTCCTCAGGGCACCCCCAGAGCAATGCTCACGTGGGAGTGCGGAACTTCCACACCCACGCCGCCCCTCCCATATCACCTGGCCCTCCTCCATACCAACTCGCGGAGGGGGTCAAGGCACAGAGCAGGCACCGCCAAGTCTGCCCATCAAATAACAAATGAACAGGACAGCAGAGAGCAGTGCCTAGGTCTGCATGAACCTCACGGCTGTGGTTTAGATTGGAGGGTGCCGAGCTAGGGAAAAGGACTCTGCCTTCGCCTGCTTATGCACTGGCATCCACACAGGACTTTGTGCAAAAGGAAAAGGTGAAGTCTCGGCAATCAGAGCAGAGACGTGACAGGCCCAGAGCTTGGGGTGAAACCCTTGGTGACTGCTACTGCGCGGATGGCAGCGGCACTGCCCGGCTCGGACCTCCTGCCTGGCTGTGCAGACGGGGCTGGTGGCAGTTAGTGGCGGGGTTGGCACCGGAGGAGAGGGCCCTGGACCTCATTTTACCTCCCTACATGTGTCTCTTGCTGCCAAGGGCAGTGGACAAGCAGAAACGGCGGCACAACAGCCTGTTTGCAGGGAAAAGCTGGGTAACCCAAGCGCCGCACTCGGCCGTGGGCAAGACCACAGAGGCGGTGTCGCAGGCCTGCGTGAAGCGAGGCCCACGGCAGGGAGAAACACACCGCACTACACGCGTGCGGGAAAAGGACTGTGTGCCCGGCTGTGTACTGGCACAGGCACAGTGTGTCCAGAGGGCGCATACCAGAGCGCCAAGTGGTCATCTCAAGGCCATGGACAGAGCCAGGGAGGCTGGCCAGCCCTGTGTCAGCACAGGCTACTTTTGTAAGATGGCCTCTTGGTCCTTGGACAGACAGATATGCCAGAGGCAGATCCTAGCAGACTGGGCCCTCGCTGCCAAGAAGCTGTTCACTGTGGGGTCTGGGGCTGCGGGAGCCAGTGGAACCCCAGACCACAGAGTGCACTCCAGGTGGCTGCAGCGATGATGGAGGTATCAGATCATCTTTGCAGCTGATGGCCAAAGGCCATCTGGAAGGGTCTGTGAGTTCCCTGTGATACGCGGGGGTGCAGCATCTTCAGAGGCATCCTTCGCAGTGGTCTCAAAACCCAGAGCGAGGACGTTCTCAGGGAAGTGGCTATGTCTGAACACGTTTCTCATGGGCACCCCCACACAGAACCATCCACTCCACGCTGAGCCCAGGGGTCACAGTCAAAGGCCCCGGTGCCCAAAACGGGCGTGCGCACAGGATCCAAGTGGAAACTTGGGGCCCTGGCACCCCGCCTCCAGGCATATGGGCACCACCAGGCGAGCCCTTTGACCTTCATGGGGACTCCGGAAGGAGGAGGTGCCACTGGCTCCGGGGCAGCCTCTGCCCCCCACCCGCACCCCAGCAGCCCAGTGGGGACTGGCACCTGCTCCAGCTGGCTGACAGCCTCCCAGAGCAGCGAGTGCAGGCTGGAGAGCTCCCGGCCCAGGTCGATGTAGCCCTCGAAGCCCGCGGTGTTGGAGATGGTCTCGGGGTTGGAGATCTCCAGCAGGAAACGCTGCATGTTGGTCCACTCGTGCTCCAGGAACTGGTTCATGAACGACATGTACTCCTCCTTGCTGCCAAACCTGCAGGAGAGGCAGGCCGGTGAGCGCCTTGGGCGCCCAGCGATCCCCTTCTCTGGCACACCCATCCCTCCTCCTCGCTGCGGCCACACCCACGCCACCAGCTCCCCAGCGGGCCCGTCAGATATGACGCAGAGCCCTCTTTCCTCAGGGTCCAAAGCAGAGGCCCTTCCCTGCACCTTCAGTCTCACAGGACCTGGAATGTTCCGTGGCCCTCACTGGCAGCGGCAGTCTCCTCTTTTCCTCTGGGTTTCAACGGTCTTGTGTAGAGAGGATTCTCACTGCCCTCTCCGCCAGGTCTCCCTGCTGAGCTTTCAGGCGTGCATGTCCATGACACTACCCCTCCGACTCACCCTGGACAGGTCTGAAGTCACCTCTACCACTCCAGACCCAAACCCAAGTCCCTCCTGCTTCCTGTGCTAAGTGAGACACCACATGTAGCAGAGAGCCGAGCCAGAAGCCTGCAGGAGTGCTGGCTCTCCCCTGCAAGTGCTAAGGCCGGCTGACATCTTCTAATCACCCCTTGGCCTTGCAGCCCCTGCCCCCAAGCCTTCCAACACTTTAGCTGGAATCTCAGCTCGGGCCTCCTCTTGGCAGCCAGGCCAGACCTGCTCCCCTCCCCACAGGCCCACTGCTGCCAGCCTGACCTTTTCAGGACCCAGAACAGAGAAGCCCCTCCCCACCCTCAATTTAGTGCCTTGCTGGCTCCCACTGCCATGCGGGGCCTGCAGGTGTCTGTGTCCTCTGCGGTCTTGGCCTCACTTCTCCTGACCTGGCCCTTGACCCTTCGTGAGCGCCATGTGCCTCGGCCCACGACACACAGCCCTCCATGAGCAAGCGGATGGGTCTCATCTTGACAGGAGCATGTCTTCTAGGAAGCACCCCACCTCCTCTCCCAGGCTCTGAGGGTGTGCCTAAGCTGGCGTGGGTCTCTACACTGCTCTGCTACTTATTCTAGTCCTCGTTCCTGCTGAAGCTCTGTGCTCCGGGAGGATGGGCCAGGTGTGAACCAGAGACGGCTCTGCAAGGGGTCCAGCCTCCCCATGTGGACAAGGGGCCCGGTCCTTATGTCTCCCCCACGAGCTCCAGGGCACAGCAAAAACCACAAACAGCGCTCTGGGAGCAAAGACATCCTTGACAGCATTAAACAAGACCACCTGGACCACTCTGAGTGCCCAACCACAGGGACGGGCTCAGGAACGATGGGCCACCTCCCTTGAAGGCTTATTAGTCGTTCATTTCAAGATGAAGCTTATGAATGTTTAAGGACATGGGAGAATCCTTATGATAAAGTGTTAATCACAAAAAGCAGAAGGAAAAATATCTCCCCACTGTTGAAAATTAAGGAGCACAACAAAGTGGTACGTGCTTTCAGTGTCGGGGGTGGGGGGGGATTTTATTCTGAAAATCCAGGCACGGCAGCCAGGGGCAGAAACGCCTGTGGCCTCCAGCCTTTGACTTGTATGTACGGGAGGGGGCAGCACTCACTTGGCAAAGTTGGCCAAGTTCTGGGTAACCTTGGCAATGAGGGTGAGGGTGCGGGCAGTGCGGTCGTCGGGGTACTCCTGCAGCAGGTTGAAGAGCGAGGGCGACATGATGGCGGGGCAGAGGAAGCGCAGGAACAGGGAGGCGCTGATGAGTCGCTCGCTGATGTCCGGGCGCCCGCGGCTGCTGCACTCCTGCCGCCACGAGGCGAACACCTCTTTCAGCTCCCGAGGGAAGACACTGTGCAGAGACAGAGGGTGAGGGTGGTCAGGCAGGGTGCCGGGACAGGAGGGTGTGGAGCTCGGACCTACGGATACCTGGAGCCCTGAGCTCCAGCCCTACAGCTGGGGAGCTCCATGGGGTGGGGCAGGAGTGCCAGCGAGTGAGGCTGGACAGGAAGTGCAGCAGAGAGGGGCATCCAGGCAGGGCCTGGGCTCTCAGTGAAGGGCGCACAGCACAGAGGAACCCATCTCAGGCCTAAACAGCATCTCTGACAAGCACCAGCTCCCCCAGTGCTTCACCCATGTCCTGGAACAGCAGGCCTCTGGGCCTAGGGGAGTGCAACCAAAATCCAACCCCACTGATCACTGCTCCTCGGCACCATCACTGGCTTCTGCGGCTCCCTCCCTCCCCAGGGTTAATGTTCTAAGACTCCAAGGAGAGAAATATGCTTACACAGGTGAGAAGGCCATTCTCCACTTATTGGCTGGAGGAAATGGAGGCGTGGACGTGCCCAGAGCGACAGCATTCCTGGCACGCTAGGGGCTCTCCCCACTGGGCAGCCCAATCTGCCACAGTCAGAACCCTCCAGGCCAACCTTTAGTGGCTCTCCTATTTTTCCCTCCCACGCTGGGGCAGCTCAGGATCTGGTGTCGCTGAACCAGCCAATGCCTGGCTCTGTCATCAGCACAGGGAGCTGGGCACGTGCCGGGTCCTCCCTGGGCTCCAGCTTTCTGACCCTCACCTTGAGAACAAGGCCGGCCTTGCCAAGCTCACAGAGCCCGAAGGCCCTAGGAGGGTGTATCAGGCAGCAAGCTCTTTGGCAACGAATGTGGCTGGACCGGCAGGGGCGTGCTGGGGAAGAAGCGTGGGTGGTAGGCCCTCGCCTCGGCCCCTGAAGTGCCTGGTGCAGGACTGGGCAGGGGCGGGCACTGAGATCACCTCTCTCTATGACCTTATGCAGAACAGAGAGGCGCTTCTGAGCCACTGATAATGCCAGAAAGAGGAAATGGAAAACCATTGTCCACGGATATGTTTCCCTGCACCCCACGCCCAGCCCACCGGGGAGCAGGGCAAAGGGTCAGCATACTGCCCAGCCAAGGGTAGGATGTGCTCCACCCCCTCCCCGCCCCCCGCTGAGCAGGGAGCATCTCGTGCCACTCGGGGCAGAAGGCCCTGGGCAGGGGGTGCCCACACCACTGGCTCTGGCCATTCCCCACCCCAGGCTGTCGCTCTCTGAACAGGCCTACCTCTGCCTCCCCTTCAGGAGCTGCAAATCACTGCACAGCCCTCTTGTGCCCAGCTCTGAGCCCATGATCTGTCTGCCCCGGGGGGCTCTGGGCATGGGCTGGGAAGGGATCCCAGCACAGGTTCAACTGCATGCCGATGGGCTCGGGGCCATGACAGAGTGCGCTCCGGAGGTGGGGGCAGTGGCTGGTGTCAGAGAGAGGGTCACGGATTGGAGCAGGGCATAAGGCCTTAAAGCAGGAAGGGGGGGTGCGTGTGCAGAAGAAGGTGTGTTGAAAGGCCCCAGCCAAGAAAGGTCTGGCTGCAGAGAGGGGGACGAGGAGACAGGGCCAGGAGGGGAGGGGGCGCAGGACCTGGGCTGGAGTGAGACTGTATCTGGCAGTTCCTCCAGTGTGAAAATCACCCCACTGCTCAGGGCTGCAGCAGGGTCCAGGACAGTCTCTCACTCCAGTAACAAGATTGCACTCAGCACAGCCAGCCACATGACCCCCGGGAGCGGGAGCCTGGCCTTGCAGAAGGAGCCCAAGGGTCTGCTTCAGGCTCCCAGTGCAGACCTCTATGAGCAATTTGGCCACACACGCTTGCTCCTTCCTGGGACTGGCAGTAGCCGGCAGCTGTCTGTCCTAGTTAAAGTCCAGTTCTTTCCACGCTGTCCTCCCCTCCCAGCAGGAGGCCTGCCTGTGTCCAGGGCCCCACACAAGCTCCTGCTGACAAACTTCTGACCTGGGCACCAAGCCACACGACAGATGAGGAGTCTCGGGCCCTGGTCCAGACCCCAGGAGGGTGCCCTAGCAGAGCCCTGCCGGCCTCCGCACTCAGGAGTAAACACATGCAAAGGGCTGCCACTCGACATTCTTCACACGGCTCACCTGTGCCCTCCTCTACTCTGGACGCTCCCTTACATGCCAGCCCAAAAGGATCTGGACAGGGTGCTGGCAGCCCGGTGGACTCAGCAGGGTCAGGCAGAGGGTGAGCGCCAGTCTCAGAGCCCCTGGACATGGCAAGGTTACAAGTGTGTCCCCAGTGAGTCCCCAGAGCTGTGTGAACGGACCCCGCATGGTACACTGCCGGCACCCTGGCAAAGGGCCAGCCCCAGGCCCAGGGAGGGGGTCTTGGCGGGGGCCCAGGGTAGCTGAGCCCCAGAGGGGCGCGGGGCCCGGCACTGACCAGTAGGAGTTGATGATCTTGCAAAAGGCCAGCTCGCAGCACATCTTGAGGTTGCCCTGGTGCTCGGGGAGGTCGGCGGCTGAACACTTGCTCGGGTCCACTTCACAGTTCTCGTCTGACTCGTACAATGCCTTGATGAACTCCCCTGTGTCCAGGAGGGCAGAGGGGGTGTGAGGCCCTGGTGGCCAGGCCCCACCCCTGGCTGCCGCCCACTGGCCTGCCCCTCCCTACCTAGTGCGTCCTGCAGGTACTTCTGGCCCACAAGTTTGAGGTACTCCTCGATGGCCTTGGTGGCCAGCGTGTTCTCCCGGAAGATAAGATGCTCATTGTCTCCGCAGCGGTCCACCTCTGACATCATCAGGTCAGTCAGGAAGTCCTGAGGGGACGGGAGGTGAGGAGAGGGCACCTGAGCCACCCAGCAGGTGGTTCTCAAGGCATCCAGACCAGCTCCCCAGCCTGGAGAAGCCCCTGCTTCTTGAAGCCACTGTTGCCAAGCTGCTGATGCCTACCTTTAGGGGTGCCAGGGGGGAAGGCAGGTAGCCTGGAGAGGGGGCGCCTAGAGTTGGTGGCTCTGAGCTGGGACCAGGCTGGAGGCAGCCTGGGCATGCCACATGGAACCATGAGCCCACATCACCAGCAGGCTGGACCCCAACCCTTTTCTAGTCCTGACCAGGCCTGTCTGGGGAACCTGAGCAGAACTCCCTTCCCATCCCACCCGACCTGTGCCGAGGAGATGCACCACCCTCGCAGTGACTGCTGCCACCCCACCACTCCCTACCGCAGACTCCTGTGTAGCCCCCCAGAGAAGGCGAGGCTGTCCAGCTGTGAGGACGGCGGTAAGCCACTGCCCTGGCTGGAGGGGAAGGTGTGCCACCTCTGCAGCCCTCACTGCTCTGGGGCCCAGACTTCCTGGCCCAGACTGTGGGTCCCACATGTGGTGCCGGGGCAGATGCTGGAGGAGCCCCAGCCGACACCTGTCCCAACTGCATAGGCATCATGGGAACACTGCACCAGTGGGGGCATCCCTTCCTCTGGAGTCCCAGACTCCTCACACCCACTGTCAACTTGTGACCAGGCGTGGGTGGCGCGCAGGGAGTCGAGACCGGGAGGGTAACTGTAGGACAGGACCACCAGGCACAGAGGCTGCCAGGTGACCAGAGGGGCCCAGGGCTTCTGGGGCTCTGGAAATCCCTCACACCAGTGCACACATCTTTGGGGCCCTCTGAAAACACAAGTGGCCCTGAAACACAGACTAAGTTAGGCCCAGGAACCACACAGCCTGAGGACCCCTTCCAGACTTACAGGTGACCTCGGGGAGCCCCTTCTCTGAACACGCGGAAGCAGAGGTAAGTGTTGGATGAGGCCCTGCAGTTTCACCCTGGCCCCTGCTCATGCCTGTGGGCCTTCCTGCACCCAGGGCCAGCAAAGACCCAGTGCTGGGCCAAGGAACAACTCCCCTTACAGCTAGAACTAGGGAGGGGAGTGCGTGGCACAGAGAGGAAAGTGACCTGTCCAAGGCCATAACCATCTGGGGCAGGCAGGCAGTGGGGAGCTTGTACAGGGGGGTTGGGGTTGAGGTGGGCATGGCCTGTGGGCTGCCGGGCCCACTTTGAGGACTGGAAGGTGAAAGGTGTAGAGCCAGAGCAGGGACCCGAGCCCTGAGGTGGCGCCCGCTTGGGTGGCCTGGGGACGACGCTGTTCCTGTGGGTTCTTAGAACAGCTGCAACAGCGACTGTGCCCATGTGGGAATGTGAGTCTGGAGGTGAGGGGGTGCTGTACCCTGATGGTTACCTACTGGGATGTCAGCCAAGCCTCTTACAGGGATGTGTGTGCTGGAAGATGCCACCCAGGGGTCAGCCCTCTGGGGCAGTGGAGGAGGCCCTGAAACCCACTTCACTGAAAGCCAAGACTGTTCATAGGTTCCACACCTGCCCCAGCGATCAGCTCCACCCGAGGAGGGGCCTGAAGGCCACCACTCCACGATGCTGCTTGCGTTTAGGGAGCCCACCTGGCTGTGAGCAGTGCCCCACGGAGCGGCACGCCGTGATGTGGGCATGGGTCAGTGTGGGTAACCGAGCGCGGGTCACAGCGCCGATCCAGAGGGCGCTGCACACGCACCTTCACCTTGCCTGTGCTCTGCAGGATATGCACCAGGGCCGATGCCATCTCTTCCTTGGTCTTGGCGCTGAGGATGGGCTCCAGGGCGGCGCAGAGCCCCAGGTAGTGGTTGGTGATGTGCTCGGCGAACTCCTTGTACATTTCCATGGGCAGGATGGTGATGGTCTGGTAGCGGGCCTTGATGCGGATCATGGGCCCCGGGCCCTTGCCGCCCTTGGGGTTGGGTGTCACCACCGGGTACCACTTCTCCACGAACTGCCGCCCGGCCACGGAGGCGGCAGGCAGGCTCACCAGGCCCAGGTAGCTGTTACGCTCCTTCTTTTTCTTCTTGTCGGTCTCGCGGTACAGGTGGACGGTGACGGTGCGCAGGGGCGGCAGGTTGTGGAACTCAAAGTGCTCGCCCCAGAAGACATTGTCCGTCTTGAGCTTGCCCGTGGTGCGGGCGTACAACACATCATCCAGGCACAGCTCGCACAGGTACTTCTTCTTAGCTGGCAGGTCCTTGGCCTCGATCACCCACAGCTTCAGGATGTGCTCTACCCGCCGGCTGTTGTCCTGCACGTGCACAAGGGCCATGGTGACGGGGGCCGCCCAGAGCCCAGGCCCAAGCAGGGGCACCCTCAGAGCTGGGAAGGGTCGGGAAGGTGGTGGGGGGCGCTGGGATAGCTCAGGAATCTGCGGCCCGGGCTGGATCCCTGCTCTGCCTCGTACCAGCTACCCGACTGGGGCAAGTGACTTTTCGAAACCTCCAGCCCCTCTTCCATTTTACAGGAATAAAACAGAAATCAAGTAAGAGGTTAGGACAACACGTGGCACACAGCAGCAACTGTGCCTCGTTTTAGTTATAAAATAAAAATTTTATTAGTTCTTGTGTTGTTTACTGGGCTAAGTCACCAAGAGGCTGCTAAGGACCCTTTCCTGAGTGACTTCACCATGACCAGGACTCACCCAGGTCTGGGGGCAGACACAGAAGCAAGTCATTAGAGGCGGGGTCCCATGAACCAGGTGGGGAAAGCCTGGGGCGCTGGGAAGCCAGAGGAGGGCACCAGCCTGGGTCAGCGGTGCTCACCTGGAGGAGGGGATAGATGTCTAAGCTGGAATCGGCTGGCTGGGCAGAACTGGCCCCGGGAGAGAGCGGATAAAAGTTCCAGGCAGGAGGACCCAGGACCCAGGGCCCCAACAGCCCAATACTCAGTTCCGTGGCCCAAGCCACAGAGGTGTGGCTTCGAGGGCAGAGGCCGTCTGGCACCAGACTCCTCTTTCTGAGCCAACAGTACCACCCACTGGGACCCTGCTTCCTCACAGACCCCCCGCCCCGACTCACACCAGGGACCCTTCCTCTGCCCCCTAAGGTTGGAGCCTGCCTGCTCTGGGTTAACCGTATCCCCATGCTTTGGCAAGAGGGTTCAAGGCCTACCTTGTTGGGGTGCACAGCTCGCCGCAGGTTCTCCATCCACTTGTCCCGCTCGGCTGCTGACCGGCAGGAGAAGCACTTACTTCCTGAAGACGTTGTCACCTGGTGGGAGGGGCAGGACAGTGTCACAGGGAGGGGGACGCAGCAGGGCTGGGCACGATGCAAGGCCTCTGGGCTCTGCACCACAGCTCCGGGAGGAGGCACAAGGCACACAGCCACCCGTGCACTCCAGGTCTGCAAGCAGCACACAGAGCCACCAGTGACAGGAGTGACAGGGTGGCCCAGCCCGTGCTCCTTACCCCACCCCGGGACCCTCTGTCAATAGGAAAGCCTTTCTCTCACCCTGACCCCGCCCTCCCTGAGACGGGAGAAGGTGGCCTGGGGCCCCTGACCAGAGGACAATGTTTAACCCAAGCCTCCCTCTCCAGATGGAGCCACAGGCACCATGGACACAGCAGGTGACACAGGATGACCTCAGTGCCATCTGATCTCTGCAGATGGTTCTCTTTTGCAAAGAACAGTGGCAACAGTGATGGTCACAGAAGTCTAACGTTTGGGGGGCCAGACTGGAGATGCAAGAATTGGGCTGCCTGGGAGTGCAGGGTCCTAGGGCCCCCTGCCTGGAATCCTTACCCCCCCCCCCATTTCACAGGTGACTTGGGCTCACATTCCAGGATCCACCAGCGAGGGAGCTGGCCCATGCTACTCCCACTCTGCCCCCAGCCCTCACCCTAGGGGGAATCCAGACACCTTACCCAGCATTCCAGGGCCTACACTGGCCTCAGCAGCCCCTGCTATGGACAAATGGCCACACACAGACCCAGGCAAGGATGTCAGGCCCAGCGGAGTCCGGCTGGACCAGGATTCTTTTTTTTTTAAAGATTTATTTCTTTATTTATACAAGCACTGGGTACAGTCAGAAGCACGGGAGGGTGAGAGAACTCACCAGAGCCAGAGCGGGGAGCAGAGCAGGCAGAAGGACCGAAGTACACTGCTGAGGGGAGCAGCGGGCGGCAGCAGAGGTCTGCGCGCCATGTGGGACCCTCCTCCGGTGGCCGGGGAGCAGCCGGGGATCAAACTGGCGCTGCAGAGGCTGCGGGCAGCTTTGCAACCCAGCACTCAACCGCTGCGCCACCGGGGAGGCCCTGGACCAGGATTCTTGAACCAGAGATGCACACGGGGCAGATGCCAGCACCGCTCATTCCTGCCCCCAGGGCTCAGGTGCCAGAGCTGCCACACCAGTGCTCCCTCCCATGGATAATTTCATTACCAGGCTCAGCCCTCTACCAGAGAGCTCCCCGAATTATGCAAGACTGTTGGGTGTGGGAGTGTGGGGTGGGAAGCTTCCCCAGAAACAGGTAGGAAGAGAATATGAATAATTGGAGAAGCAATTAGGTTCCCAAGAACACCTGCGACATCACTGCCATGGCCCTGGCTCGGGCTCAGGCTCATGTGTGACCTCTCGCCTTCTCCGGGCCAGTGGGAGAGAGCCCAGGGACTTCCAGGTAGCAGCCCTGCCCAGCCCAGGTGGGTATCTGGCTCTCTGCTCTCAAACCTTGGGTTGTGAGATGCTTGGACTGGGAAGCTTCCGGTTCTCACTTTACAGGGGGGAGACGGGCCCAGAAAAGGGGGCCACACTACCCAGTGTATTTGAGGGCTTGCTAGAAGAGGGTGAGTGGGCTGAGAGGCAGGGCCTCTGGCAACCCCACACAGGCTTTCACTTGCGGGGCCTCCTGCCTACAGAGCAGGAATGATGCCCCGCCTCCTAGCCCCAGTTGTTGTCTTCAGAGCTGAAAGCTACGAGCGGATTCTGGCCTTGGTCTCGAAAAGCCCGGTCGCCGATGAGACCACAAAGCACAGGGGGACGGGGTCAGGAGGAGACCTGGCTCTCCAGAAGGGGACGGGGACCCACCTCGAAGCAGTAGTCCTGGCCTAGGATGCTGCTGTGCACAGGCTTGATAACCACCTCCTCCTCCATGCTGAGGTCCAGCGCCTCCACCGCGCTGCTGGGGCTGAGCAGGGACTCGTGGGAGCGAGACTCCTTCAGCCTTGGCATCAGATGGGACCTGGGGTGGGCAGCAGGCATGTCAGGTTGGGCCTGCCTCTCCCCTCCTCCTGCCCCGGCCCCGTCCATCCCCTCCACCCCAGTGTCTGCTCAGAACCCCCCGGCTGGAGCAACCACCCTTTCAACCCCCACTGGCCCCCAGTCTTCAGGCAGACTTGGGGGCCTCTGCCATGCCATTTCATAGGTGAGGACCTCGAGGCTCAATGCGCAAGGGAGCAGAAGTCTACACAGCACCCAAGATGCCAGTATGTAGGGCCCAGGACCCCAAGTTGGCGGGTCTGACAAGTACAAAGAGCAGAGGGAGTTGACACCCTCTGGTGCCACGTGGAGCCTGACCCAAGTGGAACTGCTGCTCCCTGCTGTGGCCGGGCAAGACTCGCCTGAGCGCTGGGCCCCAGCATGGCAGATGGCACCTGCACCAGTGCTGGGAGAGCCTCTCCCTTTCCACAGTCAGTGGCACCAGCATGGCCCAGCGGAGCCCCCCACTGGGGGCACAGGACCAGCCAGCCTGCTGAGGGCACCCCAGGCTCACATCCAAGGCCCAGATGGGAACTGGGAGATAGGACGGGCCAGACTTTCCCCCCTCAACCCCGTCTTTCAGCTCCCGGCCTCCAGTGGCCCAAAGCTGGGCCCATCACGTCTCACCAAACAAAAACCTACCTCAGGTCAGAGAGGTTGGGTCCCGAGCCTGAGGGACACACAGGCTGGCAGGGTCACCACCCACCACATCCCCCCAGGCCTCACAGCCCATAACCCGTTGCCAAGACCGCCCGGGCAAGGGGCTCAAGAATGCAGAGATGAGTCTGAGAGGTACTGCCCAGAGGGCCTCCCAGGCTGGTGGTGGCCACCCTCCACCCTCCACGCTCCTCAGCTCCGCTGCAACCATCCTCTGCATCCGAGAGCCCCATGCCAGGCACTGTGTGGGAGTCAAGAGCTGGAACTGGGATCCCAGCCCAAGGGGACCCCACGGCCCCACAAAGCGGGCACATGGTCGGGCTCAGATCACCGGGGCCAAATCAGTGCCCTCAGGCAGGGCTTCTGGAAGCTAGAGGAGAATGGACAGGCCAGAAGGCAGCTGTGAGACACGCTGAAGGTGGTCAGCATCACCCAACCTCTCTGGGCCTCAGCCCTGTCCACACACGCGCTGTGAGCCACCGTTCCAGAGCCCACAGGCTTGGCCCTGGGGAGCCCTCAGGCCTGCTCAAAGGGCCCACCTCCTCCTGCTCAGCACTGACCAGTGTGGGTGGCCTGGTCCCCTCAGGGGAGACGGCAGCTGGGGCCACCCAGCTCACAGGAGACTGCAGGCCTCCCTCCCAGCCTGGGGCTTCCTACCTCAGTGCCAGAGACGCCCTGCCTCATGCCGGGATCAGGCGGATTTCTGGCCCGGCCTGGAAACCTTGCCAGGTAAGGATGCTGGGAGCCAGGGCGGGTGGAGTAGGGACCCAGGAAGTGCAAAGGGAGGAGCCCCGTGCTGCGGCCTCCTCCTGCCTGGGGCGTGGGGAGAGAAGAGGGAGGCGGCCGGCGGATTCATAGATGGGGTCTGCCAGTAAGACACAGGGGGCCCTGCTAACCGCAGTCCAGGAGCCCCGCAGGCCCCCGGGAGCCCCCGGAGTAGCCAGAGCCTAGCGCCCGCGGCCACAGAACCCTTCTGTCCTCTTCCCTCCCCACCCCCTGCCCACAACATGCCCGGGCTGGCCCGCGCTGGCCGGGAAGGCTCCTGGCTGAGCAGAGGGCTACGGAAAGCGCTGGGTTAAGGCGTCCTGGTTACAGCTGGGCAGCCGGGCCCCTCCCTGCTCCCAGGCCTTCTCCGTGTCAGTCAGGTGGAAGGGACAGGGTGGGAGGCAGTGAAACCCGCCCCGCGGCCCAAGCTCACGGGAGGAGGAGGAATGGGGGCAGATGGGTCGAGGGAGACCCGGAGGTATTGCTGGTCTGTCAGGGAAGGCGGCTCTGTCCTCTCGGCCGGTGTGGGGGGCAGGGCACCCCTGCGCCAGGCCGACCCTAGGCTGAGTCCACAGGAAACATCACACGTATCCTTCGCGGAATCCTCGCGAGGCGGAGGAGGGGGACACTTCGCTCTCTGCAGGCCCAACAGGAGAACCGAGACCTACTCAGAGAGGGCGAGCACCTTCCCAGGGTCTCATCCTCCCGAGGCGCTTCTAAACCCCAACTCCCTGCGGCCCATCTTCTTATCTGAAAAAGGAGGCGGAGCAAATGAAGAACACCACTGAGCGCTGCCACACTGGGTAGCAGGCGGCACAGGCCTCTCTGCCCCTCCCCCCAGTCTCCAGAGCGCCAAGTCCCCGTGCCTCCCCTGGAGTCCGAGCCCCCCATGGAGCACCCCTTTCTACCCCTCACCACCCCCGGCAAGAGACTGGGCTCTCCTCCCTGCTGGTTCCTGACCAGTTCCAAAGTCACCCCTCAGGGAGGCCTCTGTCCACACTTTCTCTGGAACCTACATTACTCAGCCCCACAAAATCCTTCTTTTCTACTTTTCAAAGTCCAGCCTGGAGGCCACCTCCACGCCGCTGTCCCTGGTCTCTCCAGACAGACAGCTTAGGCGTGCCCAGGCTGTGTGGCTCGGCCTGCTGGCTTCCACCTTTCCCACTGTCTCCTCCACTAACCTCATGACAGCCTCCGCCCCCCCCCACCCCCTGTACTCCCCTCCCCGGGCTGAGGGACCACACCTCAGAGGCCAGGTGACCTGTCTAAGTGCACAGGGGCAGCAAGCGGCCGACTGGGATTTGAAAGCCGTCCAAGCAGAGTCCAAGACTAACTCCACTGGGCAAGGCTGGGCCTCTGCCTGGCCCTGCCGTCACCCCACAAATGGCAGAACCGGGAGGGCCCAGAGCCAGCTGACCAGCTCACGGTGTCCCACGCCACTCCTTCCAGGTGGGGGAGGCAGAGGCAGGGGGCTGGCTGAGCGGGCAGCCCCTGCCCAGGGCCCAGGAAGCGTGGGCAGGCGGGGCTGCTGCGGGGCTATTGCCAGGCCCCAACAGCAGCCCATTGTGAGGGCAGCGGAGCAGGAACAACGGGACACTGTCCGGGCTCCAGGCCACAGCCTATCTGATGGCCTTCCAGCCAACCCACGAGCTGTTCTTCAGCTCCATCCTTTTCTCTCTTAAAAGGCTAGTGACACAGAAGTTCAGCAAATTCCCCATTATTTCAAGAAGGGGGGGACCTCAAAACAAAACATGCAATAATTGAAATGCCCTACTTGATATGTGGAGGGACATTGCCAGTTACGGGTGGGGTAAGTTGAGAGAGGGGGTGTAGAGTCTAGAAAATAAGAGGGTCAGAGTCACACTCAAAATCTCAAAGAGAGAGCGGGAGCTGCCCTGCCTCGCCCTGAAGGGCAGCAAGTCTGGCTCAGTATAAGCTGCCCTCAAATGGGTCAGGCTGGGTTGGTCTTAGAGGGAGTGCCACGCATCTCTCAAAGTGCTGGCAGAAGCTGGGAACCCCTTTCTGACACGCTGCTGAGAAGATGCCTACACCGCTAGGGAGCTGTTGGGGGAACAGGCCATGCAGTGCACGCAGGCAGGCTGCAGAGTAAGCCCCAGGAGTGTACACACACACACACACACACACACACACATACACACTCTCTCTCTCTCTCTCTCTCTCTCTGCACTGGGAACACGCAGGGCAGGGCCCAGGGTGCAAGAGTGCAGCAAACTGGACTCTTCCTTTGAACACAAACCCCAGAGCACCTTGAAGACTGTCCAGTCCCTAGGCCGCTCCTTCCTCATCCATAAGTGGGACCCCAACATACTACCTCCCCGGCTGCTGGAAGGGGTGTGGGGACACTGTCAGGAGATGCTCAGGGGAGCAAGCTAGTGGAGCAAGCTGCTCTGCTCAGTCCTCATGGCCAGATACCACCGAGGAGCAGCTGTGACCAACCCTGGAGAAGGACCATCGCTGCTGACAGTTCCAGGGAGGTGATGCCCCCGAGAGTGGGGTGACGAGACAAGCCCACTTTGTTCTTCTGCCCTGACCACTCGGATCCGACACTCCATGCCTCCGTGTTTTCCCCTCTGCAAACAGTGGTTGGGGGGGAAGTGGGGGAAGCGGGGAGGGTGTAGGAGGGCAAAATCTACTCAAATGCACTGGGAAGCAGCAAAAAGTCCTTAATTTCCTAAAGTGAAGGGAGGTGAGAATGAGGTGCCTGGAGGACGGGCGGCAGACACTGCTGAGGGGGCTACGATGGCCTCTCTGCCTGTGACTCCCAAGCAGAATCTGAGTCTCCCACTCCCATGCTCACCTGTCCCCTGCCCCTGCCAGTGCCACCAGGAAGGGGGAGATTCCTGCAAGAGGCTCTTCCTGGAAGAGGAGATGCCACTGAGCACTGCAGGACTGCAGGCTCTGGACTCAGGTCAGACATGCCACCAGGCCTGTCACCGCCAGGCAGGCCCAGGGAGCTGCCCTAGAATGCTCTGCAGGTCCTCCAGCACAGTCAGGGGGAGGAGCTGACCCCCTGGGAATGCTGCTGCAGGATACAAACAGGGCAATCCCCTGCCGGGAACATCCAGCAGAGCCCCGCCCCCCCGCCAACCCCCCCACCCTGCCTGGCCCTGCTGGCCTGGGAACCGCTGCTCACACTGGGCCCCAGGGGAAGTCCCCGGAGTCCCAGGGGCAGGGAGGAGAATGCAGCTGCTGGTGGCTCCAGGGCCCTGGGGAGACTGAGTCTGTCCTTAAAAGGCCGGGAGGTTGTCCGTCCTGCCTGGGAAGGCTTCCTGAGAGGACAGGGCCTGGCAACCCAGGCTGGGGAAGGGGCAGGCAGATCCCAGCAGTCACCAGAACCAGTGTGGGCCCAGCCCCACTTGCACACTGAGACCTGGGCTGGGAGGAACCTGGCCACCTCCCCTCCCCTCCCCTCCCCTTCCCTGGGGGCCCAGCTTCCCCGACATGCGGAGCTAAACTGGCAAAGGAGGGTCTAACCCTGGCAACCAAGACAAGAGCGCCTCGTGTGCTGTGGCTCCAGCACAACCGAGGCCTGGCTCCTGGCGACCTGGTCCTGGGTCCTACTACAAGCTGACCAAAAGACCGAGCCTGCAGCACCTGGAGTTAACAGCTGCTCACTAAGCACCTACTTTCCAAGGGGCTTCCAAGGCACGCGCTCCAGGGTAAGCACACCAGTGCGCAGCCTTCTGCCAACACCCCTGCACGAAAGCCAGTATCACCCCGTGGGAAGGAGCAGGGGGGCTCTGACGGGTCTGACATGCCAGCTCCAACAAATGCCCTAGGTAATCCAAAGGCTTAGAGGCATCTGAGGTGTGCTGACATGAGGAGCCTGGCCCAGTCACACGGTCAAGAAGTGAAAGTTGGGGTCCCCTCTGAGGGACAGTCCTGGTACCGACCTCCTGCTTGACCAGGCCTGGAGGCTGGGCATCCGGTCAGCCAGTGCCCGAGGAGGCACAGCCTGGCCAGGGAGACATGGGTCCACCCTTAGCCTGCATGTGACCTCGGGGACCAGACTTGCTGGGGCCCTGAGCAAATTCCCTCTTCTCTGCTGCTGTTTGCTCACCCGCCAAGTTACTTCAGAGATGCCATAAAACCCCCAACAGGGCCACTCCCTGTAAACTTCGGGGCCGCAGACTAGGCACAACTACCCCTATCCCAACGCCGCCTGTACTGGGTCAGAGTGGGGGTTCACAGCTGCCTGCTGGGGGTGTGGCCACGAGGCTCCGGGGAGCCCAGAGAGGAGAGGTGCTGGCTCTGGGCCCCAGGGCAGGGGGCACTGAATATCTGGACATGCCATCTCCTCCCGGCCTGGGATAAGTCTGCAGCCTAATGGAGTTCTCAAAAAACCATTCAGGAACAGATTTACCACCCTAGGTCTCATTTAGGGGGGGAGGGGTAGATGGCAGGGGGCACTCGGAGAGAGAAGAAACAAAAAAACTTTCCATCTAATCCCCCAAGTCATCCTGCAGCCTGAATAATTTCGGGTTTTTAATCAATAGCTGTCAGACTTGTCAAATTACTTTGGGGACCGCAAAGCAGTTTTTAAACATTCATAAACCTCAGTAGAACAGTGAAGTGCCCTGAATTTTAAAAGAAGAGAATCTGAGGAACACTCGTTGAATAGGATTTGGGCAAACTGAAAGTGAGGTGAGGGCGAAGCACCCCTTCTGCTTCTAAGCGCAGCACTCCCAGGCCACTCCCTGCTCCCCAGGAGAAACCACCTGGGTGCCTCTCAGAAAGATTAGGGACAATGACACCCTCAAATCCCAGGCCCCCTTCAGTTTCCCCAAGACTGACCCCAGCCTCATCGACCACATCCTGACACTCAGTCCCAGCACCCAGATGTACTCATGAGGTCCCTCTGCTAAGGCCCTACCCGCCTCCCCCTTCTCGACTTGGACAACCCTCAAGAATGGGTCAAGGCCGAGGTGTTCCCTCCCTGCCAGCTCAGTTTGTGCCAGACTCCTCCTCACACATGGGAGCACCCCCAGGCACCCCCCTGGTCCCACAGACCAGATCACCAAGAGTGGGGCTGGTTTCTGATTGGCTCTCCCCACCCCAAGCCCCGCCTGGGACCATAAATACCTCCAGCAGCTGCCTCAGGGCCTGGAAACTCATGACCCAAGAGTGGAAGGGTAGCCAAATAAGAAAAGGAGCTGGAAACAAGGACTTCAAGTCCCAAAGGAGATTATTTCCCTCCGGCTTCTCAATCCTCCCAGCTTTCCACCTCTAGGAAGCCCTCCTGGCTCAACCGGCCTCTCCACAGAATGGGAGGGCAGGAGCAGGGGCAGCGTCTTCTCTCCTTTCACTTCTCTGCCCAAGATCTGGGACCAGGCCAGCCGCATCCTGAGGACTGTCCTTCACCCGTCCCTGGGAACCAGGTTTTGCACCTCAACCAAGGGCCGCCGCTTGTCAACACAGTCCCAGCTCCTGGGCCACGCTGGTTGCTGACTGTGGCAAGGCCTCCTTCCTTAAAAACAAACACGTACACATACAGCTCTGGGACTTTGGTCAAAATAACCTGTATGTCTCAATATCAGTAAAAATGGGGATACCATCACCTTTGGTGTTCTGGGGGTACCCTGACTGCAAAGACCTCTGTGCTCAGCCCCAGTTCTGCCTTCCAGGGCACTCCGCCCCTCTGCCCCACAGCTCTCAGGAGGGTCCTAGTTCCTCCTGGGCCGTGACACTTCCAAGCTGCCTCTCTCTTGGCCCCAGTGCCTGCGGGCCTCAAAAAGCCTCTCTGCCAATCGACTCCAGACAACCCGAGGGACTCCTACTTAAGAGCAGGCTCAAGAGTGGAAGCCACAAAAACAGGCACCTCAAGGAGAGATGGACACGTCTGGGAACAAATGCTGGCCCCTAGATTCCAGCCACAGTGCCACCGTCTCTTCCATTCCAGCCACCGGCGAGAAGACAGGGGCTTTGTGATCTCAGGGAGACAAGAGGAAGGGGCAGCCCTGGGGTGAAGGGAGAGTAGACTTCAAATTGGCTTCTCCCGCACCTCGAATGGGCTGCCATTACCGCTGCCAGAGCGTGCTGGAGGGTCACTGTGCTAAGGACCCCCAGTCCCCATTATTAAGTCCCTGAGCACCTCCAGTGTGCCAATGCCGAGCCTGAGGGTCTTGGAACTCAGCTCCCCCAATCCTGCAGGCCCACAGAGCTCTGCTTCCAGACTGTAGCTGGCAGGAGACAGCCAGGCGCACACAAGACGAGAGGACGGCTGCGTTCAGGGCCCCAGAAACTCAGAGAAACCACGTCCGAGAAAACCAGGGAGTGGCTGCTCCTCGATACCAAAGCCATAGGTAATTCTAAGTACCTGCCCCCCTCACCACACTCCTGGGGAAGGGTACCAGGCAGGCACTGGCCCCACAATGTGCAGACCACAATGTGCAGACCCCCCAGGTCACTGCGCCTCACACAGTCCAGCCAACCCAACTGCAGTTAAGCAAACAGGCTCAGAGGCCTTGGGGGCCTACCCAAGGCCAGAGTTCCAAATCCCAACAGGCCAGTGGAGATCCTGAAAACAATGTCCTGTCCATCATCTGCCACCAGGCCCCTGGGATGATAATGAGACCACACACTTCAAACCTATCCCTGCTGTCCTTGCGTATCCCCGTATAGTGTATCTCCATCACACTGGGCTGCCCACTTCTGCTTAGAACACACCCAGCAACTAAGTACTTTCTCACCCACAACGCCTGGCCTGAAGACACTACTTCCGGGAAGTCTGACAGAACAGCAAACCAGGGGTTTGCCCCTGCGCACCCCACTCCCAAGAACACTGGGAAGTGGAGGCTCGGGGAGGTCCAGCAGCTCGCCCTAGGTCAGTTCATAGGCACCAGGGCAGGGCCAGATTCCTGGCATCTGAGCTCCAGCTCCAAACTCGCCACACTGCCTGTCGATTCCCTGAGCTTTTACCAAACTACGGAAATCTGTGACCCAATGCCCTCTTCCAAGTGACTTAACCCGGTCACTAGAAGCGCACTGAGCCCTGCCACTGCTGCTCCTCCGTGACCTGGGCAGGTCGTGTCCCCTGTCTGGAAAGCAGTGAGAAGAACACCTAGGTGACAGCAGTCTGACCCACTGCAGCAGCTCCCCAGCAGAGGTGGTGAATGTGGAGGTGACCAAGGGGCAAGGATCTGGCCTGGAACAAGCTAAACCCCGACTTCTCCCAAGAGCACCACATCACTGAGACCCGGGCCCAAATATTTAAGTTGGCGCCAAACACTCCAGGTCCAGACCAGACTTCCTGGTCTTCACCATTCCCACCTCCTCCACAGCTGCAGGCCGGTCAGGAAACAGACCCAGGCAGGGAGAAGGGGGAAAGAGAGTCCTGTGCCGGGCCAGGTGCAGGCGATCTGGGGCCAAGAGCCCAGTGCAGCCCCACCCAGCCCAGCCCAGCCTTGGGCGACTGGGACCAAAGGCCAAGCTCCTCAGCCCAGAAAACTTTCAGCACTGGTTCTTGGTGAAGCGGCCACAAAGGCCTCCAGTACCCATGGAAGGACTCAGTGGATTTCCCTCTTTTTAAAAACTAAAAGCAGCATCAGCTGCTCTCGGCCTCCTACCACCGTCCCAAGTGCTTCCACTTCTGGGCCGGCGGCAGATGTCTGCAGAGGGCAGACCTGTGTCTCCCGAACCTCTCCGAGCACCGGGCACTGGTCACTCCGCTCTGAGGATGGGGCAGCGCCCACCCCTCAGTACGTCTCCCTGGGGTCAGGAGGCTGGTCAGCAGCCCTAAGCCTGGCACCTCCCTCCTTCCCAGCCTCCCTCGGTCCAACCTCTGTTCGGGCCACTCACCCGCCCTCAGCACAGCCACCAGGATCGCCAGGCCCCGGAAGCCCTGGGGCCAGGGCAAGACAGCCCGAGGCCGGCTGGTCCCCGCTGGGCCCAGCCAGTCCAGCCCCACTCCGGTCCTAGACATACCACTCCAGCCCTGTCCGCTGGGACTAATCAGGCAAGTTAAACAAAGGCTAAGTTCCAACTCTGTAATGTGCTTTTAAAGGGCCAGTGTCCCACTCAGCTGCTGGGAACTTAAAGGCGCAGATCCCTTTTTCCATACAGGAAATGGGACAGTAAAAAAAAAAAAATCCCAAAAGCCAAGATCAAACTGAAGGCCTCTGCCTTCTACAGAAGACTTAAGACAAAATGCATGACAGGAAAATTCTGAATTTCTCCCTCAGGTCCCAAAGCACCCCCCAAACAATGAGGTTACACCTTAGGAGTAATAAGCAGGCAAGGCAGCATTTTTTAAGCAGTATGTACCGGCGAAGCACTCAGCACCCCGGCATGACCGCCCTCGACACAGGTGTGACTGGACCCCCGGCTCACAGATGGGGAAGCCGCGGCAGACGGAGGCTCGCCAGCTCACCCCAGACTTTCACAGGCTGCAAGGTCAGCCTCTGGAGACCAGGCTCCCCCCTCTGAGTTCCAGGCCCCACCTGGTCCACAACCACTAACATTTTGCCTTTGTGGGGAAAAAGAGGATGAAGAGGAAGATCTGTTTGTGGGGGTACACAACTGCTGGGCTTTCGATCTGAGCCTCAAAAGCCTGTGGGGTCGGTTCTATCCTTTCCCAATGTTACAGAGGTGAAGACTGGCGATCACGCCCTGACCCAACAGGAAAGGAGACAAGAGAAAGGGAGGTGAAGGGGAGACACAGCAAAAGTGGGGAAGGAGGAGAGAAGTGGGGGGAAGGGGGCCTGTCACCCTACAGGGCGGAGCATCGGGCACCCAGGCCCCAGTTGGGGGCAGGTGAGAGTCATCCTTCCAAGCCCAGGGTTTAGGCTAGCTGGCCGTGGCCCCTCCCTTGTCCACGGGGATGGAGGGGGCAGGGCAACAGGAATGGGGTTCTCCTGGGGCCCCTAGGGACCCAGGGGGACAGGGCCCTGCCCACCATCTAGAACAGGAGTGGACAGAGGAGAGAAAGGGGGAGACTTGAGCACCTGAGCTGCGGTACCCGAGCTAACATGCTTCCAACATCAGGGTGGGCCATTTCCTGGCACCTGCAGTGGCCAGGCACATAGCAGGCATTGTCTGACCATCCTCCAGCAGCAAGGCAAGTCCAAAGCCAGGCAGAGCCCACGGGTCTAATTCTGCAGGGACTGGGTCATGAAGGATTAACTCCTCACATTCTGTTTCTAAGGAGCCTGGCAGTCAAACAAGTTTGAGGCGTGTACCCCAGTGGTTAAGAACGTGGGTTCTAAAGCCAGACTGAGCTCAAATGTGGGCTGCGTCACTTGCACCAACCTGTGTGTTCTTGGATGAGGCCCTCTCTGGGCTTCGCGGGCGCCTCCCCTGCAGAATGGGCAATAATGCTGCTTATCTCTCTCTCACAAGGCCGCTGTGAGGATCAAAGAGTTACAGGCCAGGAGCCAGGTACCTGGCTCCAACAAACCAGGTTGAAGGAGGCTACTCCAGGCAGGTCAGGAGACACACAGCAGCAAATGAACAGTAACAGGGGGAAGTCACTTCTTTCTCTGGGACTCAGTTTCTTTCTGAAAAAGGGGGTGGGGGGCCCAAAAGGGACATTCACTGACCATAAGGCAGGACCAGACTCCAGCAGCTCCCAGAGGTTACCCTCCCTCAGAAGCTAGGTGAGGAGGCCAGAGACTGAGAAAGTCCGGGCTGTGGCCAAATCCTCTGAAACCTGGAAACCGCTGCCTCCACCCCACGCCCAGGCTTACTGGGGTGCGTGGCAGGGATGGGAAGCATGGGCACAGGGCCTGTGGGGAGACATGGGCAAGCCTCATGTCCCCAGGTGGAGCCTTCCCTGGGTCTCAGTCTCCCACTCCCCAGGGAGGGCTGGGCCAGCCCTCCCCAGGTATCTCCGGGATGTCCTGTGCTGAGCTGGCTTTCCTGCGGGGAGTGCTCAGCCGCGCTCACACCTGCTGCACAAGCACTTCCCAGGAGCCCGGGGCTCCCGTGGCCAAGACTTGACCGAGTTTAGGGCTGCCTCATTCTGTCTCCCTGGATGTGCTGAGGGTGTCAAGAAGCAGAGGAAACAGGTGTCAGGAGGCAGGAGGAGTGTCCCTCAGCCCCTCAGAGAAGGCTCTATTCCCGAGGACAGTGAGAAAGCCGGTGCCTCGCACCCCAGCACCACCTCCTGAGCGTAGGGTTAATCAGTCAGCAAGGGATGGCCTGATCTGGGGTCTACAGGCCTGGCCTGCAATTCTGGTATGTTACTCAACAACTGCGGAACTTTGGGCAAGTCCTTTCATTTTTCCTGAGCTCCATTTCGTTGTGCGTGATGACAAAATGCAGGTAACAGATGTAAAAACACTGGCTAAGCAGATGCAGGAAAAGTATTTAGCAAAACCACTTGGAAATCCCAGGCAAGTATCTGGGTGCTCTCCATTCAACAGCTACTGAGAACCCAGCCTGGGGTCCAACAGACCTCAGGGTGTCTCTGACCCTACAGTGACTCCTCCAACCAAGCCAAACACATTCTAAACATTCAAGGTCCTGCCCACCAAAATAACCCGTGACACCCTCAAACTTTCTAGAAGCCAAACACAGAGGAGCCTTCTGGAGCAGAGGTGGTGTAAATGAAGTCTCGCTCTGCTCGGGGAAGGTGGCGAGAGACTAAGTAAATCCAGCCACGCTGTGTTCTTCTTTGGGGCATCTTAGACCCAGAGAGTGTCCGGGCAAGGGACAGACAGGGTCAGCTGACACCACAGTAGCCAGGAGTGAGACACTATAGGGCAAGGAGCCAGCCCTCCAGGGAGGGAGGTGGGGGCTGGCTGGAAGTTCATGTTGGCGGGACCCCCCCAGCCCTCCAGAAGAGAATCTCTGGGCTGCCCAAGGCAGAGGCCCACTGGGCAAACCCAGGCCCAACCCCACACACCACAGTTCCTCGCAGCCCCTCGGCTTTCCAGACTGACCAGGTCCCCCACTCTTCTCTGACACTGTGGCCTCCTCTTCAACACACCTGTCCTGACCCCCAGGGGTTCTCATGGTCTTGGAGTTGCCCAAGCCAACCCAGGTTCCTGTCCTCTCCTGACCCTACAGGGGGCCCGCTAGCTCCCGCCCTGAAGGCCAGGCCCCCCAGCTCTGGTGCTCCTCCTCCCTCACGGGTCACCACACTCCTTTCCCTGCAGCAGCCCGGCCTTCCTCCACGGGCAAGAGTTTCTCAGGCTTGGATTTGGGGCCTGCGCCTTTAGGAAATGCTTTCATTCTCTCCTCAGCCTTGCATACCTGCAGTGTTCTCAAGACTCCGAAGTTACTGTCTCCAGTCCGCCTTTCCGCTGAGCTCCAGACTCAGTATCTAAATGCTGGCCTGACATCTCCTCCTCTTGGATGACCCTCAAGTCTGAAGTGTCCAAAGAGGAGCCCCATCGCCATGGCTGCAGCCAGGAGTCTCAAAAGCCAGAAGGTTCCCTTCTCAGGGTGTTCAGAGCCAGCCCATCAGCAAATCCTCTGCTACCTCCTCTGAAATCATACACCTTACCACACCTCCTCACCTGCCTCCCCACCTGCCCCTCCTCCCTACCCCACCAGCAGGAAGACTCTTTAGAAACACTTAACAGATTATTTAATGTCTTGCCTCAAAAGCCTTCAATAAACCCAAACTCCTCCCCAAATGGAATGAGCCTGCCCCTCAGCGGGCCTGCCCTCTGACCTCACCCAGCAGTCCCCAGCCCCCACTAAAGAAGCCTCAGCTTTCCCGCCTCAGGGACTTTGTACCTGCAGGTCCCTGCACAGCTCTGCTTGTACCTGCTCTCCAAAAGCGTGGCTTCTGGAGTCTCTGGGAACTCAGGCCTTCCCCACTACCTCAGATCCTGCCCAGCCCCACTACTCCCCATGGAAACACTTGGCTTGTTTCCTTCGCAGCATCTTGCTCGCTCAGCCAGCAAATATTAAGTGCAAGCTATGTGCCCGCACTATTTTAGGCACTGGGAATCCAGGTGCTGAACAAAGCAGATAAGATCCCTGACTTAAAAGTTTCAGAAGCTATGGGAACCTCACCCAATCTGGAATTACTTTGTTTTTCCACTTACTTATGACTATCTATCTCTCCTACCAGAAGGTACGCCGTGTAGCCAAGGGCTATGTCTGCTGTATTTCTGCATCCTAAGGGAATCTGGGATGGTGTAAGAGCTCAGTAAGAATTTAGGAAATGAATATGCAAACACAAGGAACAGAGACGAAGAAAGGAACCAAACCAAGAGACAAGAAGTCCAATGCCCAGCCCTCTCTGTCTCCAAAGGCCTCAGGTGGAAGTGGCTCTCACTGCTGGGGGGTCTCAGGAGAGCATGCAGGTTTCTGTACTGCCCAGCCAGTGGCACCTGTCCTCTGGCAGACTAGAGACTCACAGTGGGAACTTGGGTCAACTGCTGGAGAGCAGAGGGGTGGCTGCAGGTCTGTGCAATCAAGGAGGGCTTCCTGAAGAGGTGAAATTTGAACAAGGCCAGTTGCCACCCCCCCCCCCACCGCCAATCAAGGGAGAGGATGGAAACAAATTTGCGTTTTAGGATTCTGATGTTCTTTGTACTACTAATAAAGAAAGAAAAAATCTTGCCCCCCCTCAAAAAAAAAAAAAAACCTTTACTTTTTATTAGTGTCTAGATCAATACAAGTTTTAGGAGTAAAGCTTCTCTCCTGCCATACCAACCACCAGAGAGACAGGCTGGGATTATTAGATCTGTCTCCATGAGGCAGCCCTACACCCAATGCTTCACCCTTCCCACCAGTACTGAGAAGCCCAGGCTACGGGCCCAACAGCCCATCAGCCCTCACTGGCTCCACAGTCTGGAACCAAAGTCGCCTCCTCCCAGCCCACCTCACTCACCTGGCCAGTTCCCTAGGCTTGGATCACCCTCCAGGAGCCCAGAACTTTGCCTGAGCCCACAGCCTTGCCTGCGCGGGCCTCCTCAGGCCTGTGCTCCTGGGCTGCTTCTCTCCGCTCCCCTAGGGCAGGACCTGATTCCTAGGAGTCCATCTAGAAACTCCAGCCCCACCTTCACACTTTCTCCCAGGCCGAGAAGGGGGTCTGCCACTCAGCCCCGGAGTCCAGTATAGGAACTGAACTTCAAGGAGGAGCCCGAGAAAGCCGGCTGCTGACCACCAAAAACAGTGCACCAACCGGGCCCTAGCCCGATGGTGGTGGGGCCCCAGGGCCCAGCCTCCTTGCAGGAAGTCCCACATCTCCCTAGTCCAGACCCACTCCCATAGAAGGCTCACCACGGGGAGGAAGTGACCCCAGAAAACCACACACAGACCTTGATGGCGGGAGTACAGGTGTCCGGACTGACCCAGGCCTGGGTGCTGGGCACCCAGGAGCCAGGTCTGGCTTCTGAGGATGGCGGGGTCGCCACAGAGCAGCTCCTCTAGCCCTACCCAGGATCTTGCCGAGGTTATCACCGAGAAGTCCGAGGCCACAGAAGCCCATTCCCGAGGGTGAAATGCACCCAGGTGCTTCTGGCCAGACCTGAGGGCCTTTCAGGCCTGGCCGGCATCTAGGAGGTGTGCCCAGGCGGGCTTCCCCTTCCCGCAAGGCACATGCTGAATCTGTCTTCCAAACTGAAATTTCGAAAGTGATTTAAAAAAAACAGCGGTGACAACATCTAGAAATTTCCGGGTCCTCCAGGGAACAAGTGGAAAATTACAGTCTTCCATACAGGTAACCACATGGCACCACCTCCAAGTCCAAGAAGTCTAGAAAAAGGACCGAAAACCAGTCGCCTCCAGCCACTGGCAAGTTTCCCTCGTGGTCACCTGGAAAGGGCGCAGCCCGGAGCGCAGAGGGGCAGCGCAGGAAATGGCCCCGCAGAGCCCTGCAGTCCCGCCCCTGGGAGCTGGCTGGGCCAGGCTCGCCCGGCCCGGGTCCCGCCTCCGGGCCTTTGCACCGGCCGTTCCCTCCGCGCAGCCGGGGCTCTGGGCAGGGCTGGCTTCTCCACATTCAGGACTGAGATCAAATGTCACCTTCAGGTAGTGGCCTGTCCAGCCCACTCCACCTAAAGGGGCAACTTCCACGCCCCGCTCCGGGCTATTATCCGGCTTCGCTCCCCAGACAGCCCTGATCCGAAGCCGCTGTCTGGCTCCGGCCAGGAGAACGTCAAGGCCAGGAGCACAGGCGCCCGTTCACCTGAGGCCGGCACGCCGCCGGGGGGCCCGGGCCGCCAAGTCCGCGCTGCACTGCTGAATGCACAGGTGTGTTTTCCTGCATGGTCTGGGGCAGGCCGGCCAGAGCCAGGGGGGCTGAGGGGGGCCCAAAGGCGGGGGCGCGCGGGAGCACCCCTCCCCGCAGCGGCTCCGAGCATTCCAGACTCGCCTCGGGCGCCGCCCCGGGCCGCGCCCTCCAGCCCGAGCCCGCCCAGCCCGCGCCTCCCTCCCGCCCCGCGGCGCCCGCGGCGCATTCCGCGGCCAGCTGCCCCCAGCCGCGGCCCTTCCAGCGCCGGCCGGGCCGCACCACCCTGGCTGCGGGTTCTGAGCGGCAGCCCCGAGCCTCTCACGCAGCAAACAAACACCCCCCGCCCTCCCATTCCAACATCCGAACCATTCGGACAAAGACGGAGGTCGGGAGAACAGGATCTGCCCGCCAGATCACCCGGGCAGGAGGACCCAAGGGGCTCGGCCCCGACCCGGGCTCTGGACTAGACCGAGACCGCGGACCCTCGCTGGGAAGAACACTGGGTTCCCTCCCAGGCAGGGGCCCAGGGTCCAAGCCTCAGGCAGGGGCGGAGGAGTAAGTGCCGGGAGGGAGCAGCCCCAGCTGCTGACCCACAGACAGTGGGGCAGGCTGACCTCTCCGACCCCGGAACCCAAATGCCCACCCGCCCTGGGCCAGGCTTAGCTGGCCCTCACTGCAAGGCAATCCCCCTGGGAAGAGCACAGCAGCCAACCCCAACATTTTTGCCTGGGGTCACTCCCTTTTCCATCCCACTGGGCTCCAGCACAGGCAGGAAATCACACCTCTCCTCCTGCCATCACCCAGGGCTGAGCCCACTGAGCAGCGTAACTTTCTGATATAAAGGGACTAAGGAAACACACACACACACACACACACACACACACGTAAATAAGGACAAACAGGCCAGTGGGAGACAGCGACCCCGGGGTCCTGCCTACTCCAGGTCTTCCAGATCCAGCGGCCTCACAAGCCACAGTTCAGTCCACGGTGCCTGTTTTGGCTTGTTCCAGCCCCCCAACTAACAGACGAGCTCATGCTAAGAGCAAGCCAGGCTGTCAGCACCTACTGTGTGCAGGCAGGAAGTACTCTGGCTAAGGCACCTGCAGGACTGATGAAGGCTCAACTATGCCCCTCCCCCCAACTCTCAGTATAAGCGGTGACTCGCTCCATCTCCCCGTGGTGCCTCCATCTCAGCTCAGCTCTGTTCCACACACAGGTGATCCCAACCACAGGGATCCCGTAACTCCCATGGCCCCGCCCACCCTCCATCTGCTGGGGCATACTCAAGGGTTCCCTTCCAGACAGGGTTCCCCCACAGCTCCATCTGGGTCTATCCAGTGTCCTCATAAAACTTCCTAACAGGGGTGAGTAGAGGCTGGAGTGGCAGAGGGTCACAGGCTCCGGAGCAGCCGAGGTCCTGGTAAGGAGGGAGGGCAATGAATGCATCACAAACACCTCCCAGGTGCAGGCCCCAAGCAGGTTCCCACGTGAGCGCAATCATGGCACCAAACATGTAAGACCAATGAAGAAACAAGTACCGAGGAGCTCAGTCACCTGCACAAGTTGATCCAACTGTAAGGCTGAGGCTGGGGCAGAGATGGGGGGGGGGTACTCGAAACTACTGCCACCTGCATCCCAGAAGCCGGCTCTGCCCGGTTTTGCACAGGCCCTGATAAGCGGCATTGAAAGAACCAGTTCCAAGAGAAAAAACGCTTTTGAAAAGCAACTTCGACTCTGCATTCTCCACCTCCCTGCAAGGCCAGACCCCGCCCTATAAAAGCTTGCCCTTACCCTCCAACAGGCAACCTCTCTGACAACCCCACCCCTGCTCCCCGCCACCCTGCCCTGGGCCAGAGAACCTCACCCTGGAGCGCAATAAATTTCCTGCCTGTGAGAAACTAGCCTGGCTTTCCTTTAATTACCATGCCAACTACATCTGAAAGTGGGTGTGCCTCACCCCAGACAACCTTCTACACCTATTGCTTGTCCCCTTTCATCTCCCTTCTCAGGTCTAATGTGTCTTCCCCCTGGAAGCCTTCCCAGATTACCCCAAGCCTCCATTTGTTCTCTGCACTTCCAATACTTTGCAATAACAAAATAGGCCCCGGTGGCAGGGTGTCAAGCTCTGCATGAGCGCTAAGAAGAAATAAGCCTGTATCCGGGGGCCAGGCTTATTGGGATGTGCATCCCAAGTTGGTCTCCCACACCCAACAGCTGTCTGACCTTGAAGAAGTGGCTCCCTACATGCCCTTCTAGCCTCAGCTCAGAGGACTGTGTAAGAAGCTCCTTTCAGAGCATCGTGACTAATAAGCAAAAGCACAGCGTAAGTACACAGTGCCCATCCCCGGCCACGGTTAGCAGGGGGAGCTTC